GATATAGTGGGGGGGGGGGAGAGAGATAGAAAGAGTGAGAGGAAAGGTGAGAGAGAGAGAGAGAGGTAGAGAGAGAGAGAGAGAGAGAGAGAGAGAAAGAGAGAGAGAGAGAGAGAGAGAGATACACAGAGAGAGAGAGAGAGAGAGAGAGACAGAGACAGAGAAAGGGGCAGAGACAGCCAGCAACAGGGACACAGGCAGGCAAGAGGGCACGTGGATTCAAATACGTGTTGCACACCCCAAAACTGGATTAAGCACTAAGTCAGGGGGGGCTGTTATATACCGCATATGCCGTATTGTATAGGATTTAGTGCGGTATAGTATAACCTATACATTTTCTATTGTATATCATTTAGTATGCATGTGGCTATTCGAAACCTTACACCTCTCTCACCTATACTTACTTCTGGAAGTAAGGTTTAGACCACTGTGTGTTGTGGGTACATTGCAGGTAGATTTAGTGTGGTGTAGAGTATAAAGCCTATATATATATATGATGCTGCTGCTGCTGTGAACACTGTCTTCTCTATAGGGAACAACAGCAGACAGAGTGCTTGCTTGCTGTCACCCTTCCTTGCTGTTGCAGGACGACCACATTGATTGATTGATTGATTGCTGCTGCTAAAAGGGGCTACTAGGATTTGGTGTGGTCATACTATACATGTATGTATTCACCTCTCAATTACATGGGTTTTATAATGTCTCGCTAAAGCCTATACATTATGGAATATATAGGCTTTATTATAACCATTCTAAGTCCTATACAATAAACGCCTTGACCAAACTGGATTAAGCGCCTGGAAACTGGGGGGGGGGGGAGTGTGCTTCACGTATTTGAATCCACGTGCCCTCTTGAGACAGGGGCAGAGACACACCGTGAGTTGGAGAGGAAAATACGTAGGAAAGCAACCGAAAGCTTACCATTTTGTTCATTGCATCGGTGTTACGGTACGCATATGTGTGCTGCCATTGCTGTGCCGTGGTTCTTAACTGTGAAAGGGGCGTGGACAAAACAAGCCGGAATCAAACCAGTAGACTGGCTAGTCTAATGGTTTGATTTCGGCTTCTATAAAATTTATCGTGAGGGTCGTTAGCCCCGACACTTTCACTTCCGAGGAGGGTGACTCCCCTTGCCAGCGCTACTATCCGTCCAATCTTTTCTTCGCTACAGCGCTGACTAGTCTAATGGTTCTGATTTCGGCTTCTATAGGACTATCAGTATGTGGTTTGGTGGCCTTCGCCATGGTTGGTTAGAAGTGGCCAACGAGGAGGTGTCGGGTTGTCCTGGCCCTCGCTTCGCCATGACGTCGAGCGTCCGCAAGGCATGCTTTCAGTACAACCAAGCACAAGGCGCTACGTCATGGTACCGCCGTCACGAGTCACTTTGCCCGGAAGTAGAAAGGGAAGTTGGGATCCTGGACAAGTCAGTGATGGCTACAACACCCGTTTACCTGCATGAATGCACATGATTCGTATGGATACCGAAGGTTGGACGAACTTTGAGCAGTTTTGTCCTAGAAGTAAATCAGAGGATAAAAACCCCGTTCACCCGGCCGTGGGCCAGTAGGTAAACCAAAGCCAAGGGCCGACAAGGCAAAGAAAAGCCAATGTATTTTCCCATGGCATGCAGATTGGCGCGAAAGATCAGCAGACGTGCCGATGAGGCAGGATATTAATCTAGCCCAAGACACGCATGAATATGTACAACCGTGGGGCAAAAGTCTATCCTTCTGCCATGGTCGTGTCCACGGCGCCAAACCGTTGCAAGTAGTATCCTGGTATTACGTAGGTAGCACAAACCAATGACACGCTGTGCACCCAAAGCTACCCCGCTCCACCCCGCGTATGCTGTCAACATCGAGAAGCCGACATCGGTAGCAGTGCAAAGAGCAATTTCAAAATCTCTCCAACAGAAAGGGCACGGAGATACAAGAACCGCCTACCAAGGTATTAGTAAGTCGCCATGATGACGGAAGCAAAGCGAAGACACGGACAACAGCAAATAGGGACTCACACATTGGAGCCCGAGCTTCCGGCTCCGGCTTGTACCTCCACACCCCTCCGACATCGTGTGACTTTTCGAGAACCGTCACTCGACACCCCTCGTCCCGGAGACACCGACTAGCTGCCAAACCAGCTGCACCTGCACCGATGACACAGACTGATGGTGGTGGTGCAGACCTCCGCAAAGCAGTATCATCGCCATCGCCATGCACAGCGGTCATAGCATCACGCCGGGTGCGCCTGCTGCCGTAGTTCCTGCTCCACGTCGATCGCGCCTGAGGTCTGGCAGATGATGTTGGCGCTGCTGTTGTTGTCGTTCGCAGCAGACCTTTCGTACGGAGCGGAAGGAGCAAAAGGCACGCCAAGGTGTTACCTACCGAACGGGTTCGTGATGATGGAGGGTGCAATGACCAGCCACAACGCGTGGGACGAACCATGACAGCAGACGGGAAGAAGTGGATCGGTGCAATTGTAGTGTTCAATGTTTTATCCCCCCGCGTGCGCTCTTCCAAACTTCGGCTGCGCGAGACTGTCATTTTCCACCCCGTATGATTTTGCACGCAATCGGCGGTTCCGTGTGAGATCCGCCGCGTAAACATGATGTAAACAACATGGCATGCATTGAGAGCCCGTGGGCGGCGGGGACCGAATCGCAAGGCAAGGGAGTGTAGGAGTGCAATATACAGAGAGGTAAGGGAGGAGGGGCGGGGCGAGACGAAGAGTGGTACGTGCGATGAACAGGAGAGACTTGAAAATAGTAGAGCAGTCTATCTATGGTGAACCTGCGTAGTGCTGCTGTACGTAACACCCTATGGTACGGTACAGTGATGTTGTCGCACATATGTACAGTGATGTTGTCGCATGTACATATGTGACATGGATGTAAGGTTTGGCGTTGACCCCGTCAATTGACGAAAACATAGTTGCACGAAAAAGAGGATAGGTATATCCGTATTGGATCGCTGTTGAGCAACAGATATTTGCATGCGGCAAATGATGACGGAGCAACTCGTCGTGGGATAATGAATTGGTGCGGGTGGAAAAGCAGGGGAGATGTCCCTATATGCTGTCTGGGAAATCGTAGACATACAGGTACTTTCTGACGCTATGAATTCATTGGTAATCTGTCTCAGACTCTTTTCTATGATAGAGATGGATTCGTTGTGTCATATTAAGAAAAAAAAAAAAAAGTACAAAGGTTGGCTGTTGTAGTGTCCTCCGTGCACCGTGCACAAAGCGCGGCACAACACAACGCGGCACAACAGCAGTGGTACACGTGTACACACCGTGGTGTGATGGAGACTCCACAATAAAGCCACGTGCGTACAGTAGGCTATACATATGTATGGGTGTTAGACTCTGACAGCAGTTCAGCAGTTGTCTGGGCTGCCGTGTGCTGCTGTGTAGTTGGTAGTAGTGGCGCAGTTTGGGTAGATAAACACAGAGTGATTCATTAACATACAAAGCGACCAAGCCTGCCTTCACCTGACGGTTACAGACTTGAAGTCATGCCTTCACAATACTGCACAAAACCCATGCAGTAGAATAGAGTCAGTTCTTGCACTACAATATTCCTGACAGGCTCCATGGTGCAAGTAGTGCTGCTGCGACTGCTGTCAATCAATCCTCTCCATTTGTTTTATTTTTATTTTTGGCGCCGCTTGTTTCTCGAAAGACGGCGTCACGAAGGGATAGACAGGAATGAATACGTTCAACTGTCCGCTTTACCGTTCACTGCGATCCGCTGTGACCGTTCTGCCTTCTTTGGCCTCTGCCACGTGCTCCCGTTGCTTTCGCATTCGCAATCACATTTATCTGTTTGCACGCATCGATCCAGCCACACAGTACAGCAGTGAGTCATCATCCATGTGCAACGAAATCAGGTTGTCCGCTGAGTGCTCGGCAATCAAACTTGCTGCAGTCATCCATGCGTTTCCGCATGAAGATATCCATCATCCTTGCTTTCGACCACCCCACCCACCCGTTCCGGGTAGTCCAATGGCAGTGGAGTCGCTCCGCGATATCCTTCGTCATCAACCATTTTCATCCGCGCCCGACGGATACAGGCTCCATCGAGTTCATGTGTATACACACACACATGCCTCTTTTTTTTTTTTTTCTTAATATGACACAACGAATCCATCTCTATCATAGAAAAGAGTCTGAGACAGATTAGCAATGAGTTCATAGCGTCAGAAAGTACCTGTATGTCTACGGTTTCCCAGACAGCATACAGGGACATCTCCCCTGCGGGTAACGGGCTCAACAAGACAGTTTGGTAGCTGTCTTGTGTGTCTCATATATGTTATGGTGGGAACGTGCAGAAGAAATAAATGTGTTAGGTACTTTCTTTCTTGCAGATTGAAGTCCGCAGTCATCCGGGTGCTCCAGATAAAATATAGGCTCCATGGAATCGATGTGTGCGCACACGCAGCATTCGGCTACACATGTATCCTCGCTGTCTCCCTCACTTCCTCTCTGTCCCTCTCTTTCTGCCGTAGATATCCACCGACCGGCAGACTTCTGTGGTTCGAACTCAACGTGTCGTTTGTTTGTGTGTTTCTGCGTCGTCTTCGTTCACGCATTGGTGAAACAGCCATAGCCAGCCACAGCAGCGCTGCCTTCGTCAATCAGACATCACAACATAATACGTGTCGTTGTCATGTTGTGATGGAGTGTCCGCAGCTTCCGCAGCGAGTGGATCTGCAGGTGGCGGCAGTCTCGCGCCGAACCGGCCACCACCTGTTCTTGTTTGGAAGTGCCGCGCTTCTTTTGTTTGCCGGGAGGACACCAAGCCATGTGTGGGCTTGTGTGGGCCCTTGTGGGAGCGTGTGGTACTGCTGTATGATGTGGATGGTGGTGTGTCGTGTGGTCATGCGTGGTACCAAACTTTGAAGGGCCATATCTCGCCAAAATAAAAAATGTGTGTCGTGGGTGCAGGTCCAATTCGTCCGAATCCGTTGAGTTTTTCAAATTCCATCGGTGCATTTCCCCCCGAAAACCGGTTTTCTAAGATCGCCTGGAAATGCGCCTTTTTGCCCATTTCTCCGTAGCTTGTCAGCGAAAAAAACACTGAGTTGGGTCGGCCTGACCTCCTCGACGTGATACGCTCAAAAACCGGTCTAAAAAAAAAATCAGACCTCACATTCGACCAAATAAAACCTTTCATAATCTTGAAAAATCTCGACTACATTACGATATTCTCGCTATCAAAAAAAAAAAAATCTGCCCCAATCAAACGATCCGCCTCAAACAGAGCTTCCTTACGATATAAAGTATGTCACTGGGGGGTACGTCAGCCACTCGGAATCAATTCCGGAGTGATCCTGGGAGGTCGTGGCAAGATGTAACCGGATGGACTTTACGTGTGCCAGATTTCGTCGTGTTGAATATTTCTTTGGAGCGGAACATTATTGCAGTAACTGGTGTGTCAGGTTTGTATGGTTAACGGTTGCTGGGCATCGGCCTCGCGAATGGGCCCTCGACCCCGCGACACGTGGGTCGGGCTGGAAAGACCTTTGTCGTTGACCTCGCGGAGAAGAGGAGTGAGGGGGGTTTCCTGGTGCGCGCGGTGAAGGGTCAACGTGAACATCTTGGTCTACCCCCGAGTTCCCTCGCTTGCACGTAGTAAGCGCTCCGTGAAAATCACCCGTTATTTTAGTTACCTGTACAAGGGTCTCTGGACGCCGGGGCCTATCGCCCCCCCCGTCTTCATTTGACGAGTGTGATGATAGGAGGGGATTCTCCGTTTGTGAAGGCGTGAGGCAACATCTGCAATTCTCAACTTTCGCTCTTGTGCCTAACTGCAAGCTTATAACACATGGGTGAACGATCCACCCGGCGGTGCACTTTAAGTATTGTTATGCCAACTTGAGTCCCTTTGCACATATATACGTGCATGCATGTTCAGCTGTCGGTGCATATACCATGGCTTGAAAAGTCGCTGCGAGGTGACCCCTTCGCCAATTCAGCGAGCTGTGCACACTAAATCACAATCGCTGAAAAAACATTAACCGAGACCTGGTGATGCGAAATAATGTTTTGCTCCGAACATCATGTTCGTAGTTTTCTTACGCCAGAACACTCCACACAATTGACACGTCGACTGGGGTCGTCATGGTCTTGAACAGCATACAAGGCAAGCGGATACACGGGGGAATTCCCGACACGGGGGCGTAGCATCCCTGCAGAATGCTACCCGCTAAGGCAACTCACGCCCGGCAGCCAACGGTAGTCGACCCTCACTCGCCCTCTTCAAACGTACCTCTCCTGAGACATCGATGGAAATACAGCACAACTTTCACTCCGGCCGACTTGCTCTTCTGGAACGCCGGCACTGCTGAACGGCACAATTCGCTGGTACACACAAACACGAGGATCTACCGGCCGCGCAAGTTCCGATTCTTCGTCTTTTCAACGAGACCTGGTAAAGTCAAAGGACATCACTCTCCGAAGGTATAATGTTTCTCCTTGGCTCACACCAAAAAACATTCCATACAAATAAATACATACGCTGATACACACCGGGAGTTCCCAACACGGGGGGGGGGCATACTCATTTTTTACTTGCCTTCGTGGTTAGACCAGTGACCGCGCGTCTTCGAGAGGACTGAGCATTCTTCTCACAGGACCAACCACCGATGGCCAATTGTTCCTTCCTAATTTGCCAAAGGTGGCTCAAAATTGTGTTCCCGTCCCTATCTATCCTGCATCACTTCCCGCCTTTTTCATCCCACGTCCTTTGTCCCAGTATAGCTACGTCTTCTCCTGGCTATCCCATGCCCCAAGCATCTGTAACTCCCTTTTTATATTTCCCAGCTCAGTCATGTGCATTTCTCTCTCCTTTCACAGAAAGGACATTCTGCAACTACATGAACCCGGTCTTCGCACTCGGAACTACATTCACACTTCAACTTGTTGCCATCCTAAATCTTCGTCTGCGTTCTCGAAGGCCTCTGTCCTCAGTACCAAATTTGACTTTCAGCTTTGCCCCTGCATCCACTGGTCCATGTAGGAATTCCTGACACGGGGGCATGGCATATCCCTACGGCATGCCACCCCTCGAAAGCAACACGTGCCTGGCTGCCAACGGTAGTCGAATCTCACCCGCGTTCCTCAAAACAAACTTCGCCCGAGACATCAATGAAGATATAGCATGACTGTCACTCCCGGCCGACGGGCTCCCCTGGAAAAGCCGGCAATGCCAAACGGCACAGTCATTGGTGGCACACACACGCACAATGATCAACCCTCACAAGAGAGGGTTTTTTAAAAATAATGTCGTGTTACTACCGCAATCAACGTCCATAAAAACCAGCACGATTTGGTGTCAAACTCAATAACACACTACAGATGGGTCTCTCCATCCGATCTTGAGGTATTGCCGCACGGTCCCTAAGAAACATTATACAAAGTTTATGAACCAAACAAGCGAGTGGTATGGTGAGGAAACTTCCCACACCGTCCCCTTGAGGGCACAGCGCAAATACAAGAGCGACCACTCAGTCTCACTTCCACAATACAAACCCGCGAGCCAAGAAACAAACTCGTCCTCGTTTGTCCTGTTCCCCTACCCTCTTACGGGTCTTGCGCCGACACATTTTTCCGGCGCAATTTTCTCGGTGTCCTACTGCGGCTGCGTGCCTTCCCCCCCCCCGCCCTCCCGCTCCTGCCCCACCTCTTCCTGCTGATGCTGCGGCGAAACCCGTGGGCTGCCACCACCGTCCGCGGCGGAACGGCAGCATACTCGCGCCGCGTACGCAATGATGCGCGCCAGGTGAACGAAGTCCTCGTCCTCGAAGTACGGCGGGAGCTTCAGGTCGTACGCCATCGCCAGCGCGCTGTCCGTTACCGGCAAGTCTTGCGCGGGGCTGCCGAATCCTCGCCAGTTGACGTGCCATCGCGCGTTTCCACTCGAGCGTAGCCAGTTCACAGGCACCCCGAGCTCCTTGCACTTGGCCTACAAGGAGACAATTTGATGGGGAGGTGATGGGGGAACAAGTCGGTTCCGAGAAAACCCGAGCTCTGCATTTCCACCGATAAGAAACAGTCGGGCTTGTAGAACGGCTGGTGCCTCAAACGGAACGGGCTGTTCAGCCACCTTAATGGTAGTAGGGCGGGGGTGGTGTAGCATAGCTTTAAGGAATCAGCTCACAGGCACCCGAACCTCGTGGCAGAAGGCCCAACGAAGGGTGGATGGGGGGCAGGTGGAGGGTGCGTTGAACAGATCAGGGGTGGGTATGGACGACGTGTCGCATGTAAGTCAATCTTCATTGCAGCCTGCTGCCCTTGAGCCCTTCTAAAACGTCTTTTGGACTCCCTTGAGCGAACCGAAAACATCACACCCGGCCGCCTTGGGCCCCGGCAGTTATTCAACTCTGTTATTTAGCGCGACATTTGTTTCTCTAGCTGATGGTGCCAATAGGTACATACCTGGAAAGAGAGATTGCCCTCGTCGGAAGCTTTCTTCAATCGGAAGTTGAGGTGATCCCCGACCGCACCTACCAGTTCGTGCTGTTCCGGCACATCGATCAACCCTGGAGCCTCTGCCTCCATTGTCTTGACCACCTGACAAAAAAACGTTGTGTATAGTGTTGGGCCCGGAGTTGGTATTCCCATCGAACATTCTCTCTGCTCTCACGTCATGTATGTGTAACATGCGCTATTCCTTGGGCCATGATTGATGGAACATTAACATACAACGAGCTCGTGACACCCGTGTGATCCACATCAACTCGGGGGGAGTAGACAGCCAGTCCCATTGGGAAAAAGAAAGGCACTATTTCGCCCGCATAGCATGCCTACACAAGCATCTTCGCACCATGAATAGACAGGCGTCCACACACGCTCAAGAAGGGTGGCCCGCACGGTAACAAGAAAAAACCGCTCACACGGCAGCAGGATGACCACCGTGAGCACTATACTCACTAAAGCAATTCCCCTACGCATGGTATGCGAACGAAATTGTTGTCGGCATTAAGAATTGCGGATCGGGTACCTCTAGCTCGCACTAACGAAAGAATAATGGGACATTTTCCGAGACTGCCAATTCACGTAGCCACACGCGTACATCCCATGGGTATAGAAGCAAGGGTTTCGACTTCCGATGCGGCCGTGTTCGCACCGAAGGTTCAGACTTCCTCGCGAAGCGAATCGTGGAGAGGCTCATACAAGTCACGCGGGTGTGAAATTCGTTCTGGCTCCGTGCCTCTGCACGCATCTGTTACTACTCACGATATTGTATATGCGGTTGTACTCCAGCACCCTCGAGGGTAAACTCTTGAGGAGCGGCCTCAGCACCGCGGCGGTGGTCTCGCTCATCCTGACCGACAGGTTTGGCTCAGAAAATCTGGCCGCCTCGCACAGGGCATCGGACGGGCGCACCAGGTGCTTGGCTGCGATGGCGGGTGCATGGATAGGGGCAAGTTAACGGCACGCGAGGCGGGTGGGTACATAGACAACCACCAAGACACCACCAGCGCTTGCACCAGAAACAAGCCAGGGCAGCACGTGGTGTGGCATGGCGACATAGCCAACGTATCGCCAAGCAGCATTGAGGCGGATATCGCTTCACACTTCTTTCAGGTTTTCGTAAGACCTACTTTGCTGCTGTAACTAGGAACAAGTTGCCGGTGTTTCGTTAGAAAATCGGGGCTTGGCAGCAAGTTGGAGGAGGGTCATCGCAGCTTGATTCGCCCGACGGGGGCGATACAAATGTTCCATCAGCGGCTACGTCTACCACGCCATGAATTCATTATTGTGGCTACCCCAACGAAGGTCCTGCTAATCTTAGTCGTTGCTGGATGAAAATACCTACACACCACGCAAACAAAACAGCGAATCAGACGTTGGGTTGCCGTCATGGAAAACACTGACGCTTGGTGAATCTGCTCTATTTACAAGGGCGCTTCGCGGTGTACCGCTTCGCGGTCGCCGCTACGTGTAGGCTGTATGGCAATGTCAAGTGTGTGCGGGTCGAGTTTCAAGATGAAAGGAAAGAAACAGAAGTGTATATGAGAGGAAAGAAACAGAAGTGGATGTATATGTGAAGTTGTTTTCCAAAAACAATCGAAGAGCGGAGAAGCACAGCGAATTAACATGCAGATGTGGAAAGAAACAACACCTCAGCAAGACAACGTTTAGTTTGTTGTACAGAGAAATGCACGTGTATGTGCCCCAACACCACCCGAAAAGGAATGAAAGTCTACGTGTGAGGAGAACAAACAAGGGAAAACGACACAACAGTCGGCAAAACCACCTCGTGTGCAAGAGATGCACAAGTTGGTCCATAACGGGCTGCCTACAGAGCAACGGCGACTTCAAAGATCACCAAGGTAGAGGGCCCCATGGTCAACTGTGCTCGGGGCCGGCGTACCAGCTCCGCAGTTGTGCAACCCCTCGTAGACCAGCTTGTACGGGCCAACCCCAAGATCGCCGGTCGCGCCCTCAAGCGAACCTCAAGACCGTGGGCTTCATTCGCCATCTCCGATCGTACGTCCCAGAGAGCGAAGAAGCGCATCGCCACGGCTACCAGAGAGGATGAAGCGGCTGCTATTGCGCGTCTTCCAACTCTTTTCAAAAGGATCGAGCACGATTGCCCAGGATCTATCGCCACCATCGAGATAAGAGTTGGATCGAGGCCCTCGATCAATGTGCGCGTGATAACAGTAGTGCAAGGTTGGTCAGACGCGCAATAGCAGCCGCTTCATCCTCTCTGGTAGCCGTGGCGATGCACTTCTTCGCTCTCTGGGACGTACGATCGGAGATGGCGAATGAAGCCCACGGTCTTGAGGTTCGCTTGAGGGCGCGACCGGCGATCTTGGGGTTGGCCCGTACAAGCTGGTCTACGAGGGGTTGCACAACTGCGGAGCTGGTACGCCCGCCCCCAGCACAGTTGACGTGGGGGCCCCCTACCTTGGTGATCTTTGAAGTCGCTGTTGCTCTGAAGGCAGCCCGTTATGGACCAACTTGTGCAACTCTTGCACACGAGGCGATTTTGCCGACTGCCGGCACCACTTTCATTGTTCATGAAACGGTCTGCGGCGGCAAGCTCAGCTGCTACCGCGACCCTCGCGGCCTGGCGGCTAGGGAATGTTTGCCCAGCCGTAACGGGCACTACCGTGGTGGACAAGCCTGCCGCCGAAGCTCCTGCGCCGCCACTCGCTCCTTCCATGATTGCTTCAACGGCGTGTATGTGTGTGTGTGTGTTCCTTGCTCCTCTCGGGCACGAGGTCGCCGCCGCCGCCACACATCATTGCTGCGTCATCGGCGTCTCAACCATGCTAGATCGGTCTGGTGTTCTAAGCGTGCCCCATATATCTCGCATGCATGATGCTGCTGTACCTCACATCCTACATGGTAGTCTACACACATGCAGACGGGACTGCTGTGAGGGCTTTGCAACCCATTTGTTTGGTCAGAGCGGGAGGATTTGATGGCTGGTGTTGTTTGGCAGGGGCGGAAAATCCGTTCTGATTGATTGCTGCGCAGTTGCCATGGTTGTTTTTGGTCGGGAAGATTCGTTGTTGAGCATGCCATGGTGAGAGGTGAACAGGATGCCTGCGGAGGAAATGGTTGATGAGAGGGTCTCATTTCCCGTCAGGTCAGGGCACATTTCCGAAATCAGGGCACAGTTATTGACAAAAGTAGTATACCCCGCGCGTTTTAGGACGCGGCAGGGTGAAAGCGGGCTTTGTCCAATCAGTTGGGCTCATTCCACGCTGTTGAATACCATGTACCCAGCTGAGTCCCTTTTCGACCAGGGTATGCCGTTTTGGGTCGTTTTCCCAAAAAACAATCCTGTGTACCATCTGCTACTGTACATAATGTCTTTCTTGCATCATGCAGCATGATGTCTACTTCGAATTAGTAACTTACGTGCCGTATCAGGACGGCAGAAACCCACAGTAGTACTTGCCCCACAGCAGCTGCAAATATTTCTGCCAGAGCGTTGTGGGGTTCATATGACTCCATCCAGCACTTCTTGTGCTACGTTAGTGGAATGTGCGGAGAGCCTGTCCCTCTAGGCGCTCTGGCCAAAAGATTTTTGTTCCAAAAAAAAAAAAAGGAATAGAAAAGGACCGCGCCGGGGGATTCGACTTCCGCAGTTGATCCGACAAACGGAAGTTGCCATACCACTGACCTAGAATACATAATAGCCCGGGGGTAGCCCCGGCCTCATCTGAAGCCCCCTTCCCTTTTTCTTCAGGGAGAGTGCGTATGAGTGTGCGTATGAGTGGGGTCGAGGATGATGTAGTTGGAGGCGGTGATGAAGATTATTGTTCAAGTCTGGATGGAAAAGAGAGTCCATCCATCGATGTGAAATGAAAGAAGGGAAGAAGCAAGAAGGAAAGAAACATCATTTATCTCTGTTCTTGACATAAAAACCCACTCGACGTTTCGCATGAGTACGAATAGAGCGGGCAAAAAGACAGGGGACCGTCGGCCGTGACCATGGTGTTGGTACAGCGTGTCCGCAGTCCACCGGCATGATGGCGGCCATTCATACGTGAAAAAAACAGCTGGTGCGGTGCAACAGAGGGCTGCATTGTGTGCCGTAAAGAAGCGAGCCGCCATGCTGTGGTGAATGAAATAGTGATACGCGGTCGCATTGGACTGAAAAATCGTCGTGGTGTGCCGCAACGAGCATGCAAGTGTGGGGAAGGTTCGTGTGGCAGTTCGGTATGGCACCGAGGAGATCTACGAATAAGTCATAGCAGAGAGAAGCACGTTTCTCAAAAACTGTTCCGTACGGACAGGGGGCATACTGCTGGCGGTGACGTCATGAGGAACGCAACGGACCGGGTTGATTATTGCAGGGCGGGAGAAGAGCTGTGGGGGGTAAAAAGAGCGAGGTGCATGTGTGCCGTAAAGAAGCGTGCTGGCATGCATGTGCGCCGTGTCTTGAGGGAGACTACAGATTTCACCATTCATCCCTGACGACATAAATGCATGCCGGCCCTTCCTTGTGAAAATCGTGATACGCGGATGCATTGGACTGAAAAACCGTCGTGGTGTGCGGCAACGAGCATGCAAAGTGTGGGGAAGGTTCGTGTGTCAGTTCGGTGTGGCACCGAGGAGATCTACGAATAAGTCATAGCAAAGAGAGGCGCGTTCCTCAAAAACTGACAGAAGGTTTTCTGTAACTTGCGGGAGGGCTGGGCGGGGCAGGAGGAACACGTCTTCGAACTCACTCGAAAATCTGTCGTTTTAATCTCGAGAACATCGACGGGAATAAATCAAGTTGCTTTTGGAGAAGAAACCGGAGATCGCCAAATCTAAACCCAAGTGAAAAAACCAGGATGCGGCGCGACTTGGGCCAAAAACCTGGGGCACAGAACCTGGGGGCAAAATCGAATATAGGTCTGAAAATTTCGGCAACACAGAAACTGAACCCCTGAAGGGGCTTCAGAACTATGAAGTAGGCTTGAAAAACACGAATACCCATGAACAACAACCTATGTATATTCAGGGCCTTTTTTTTTTCCGGCGTGTGTAGTTGGCAGTCTGCTGTGCTGGCCGCACGACACCGACCGCAACCCCCTCCGCTTTTTGTCGGGATCGAAAGGGAGACGCCCTACAGCAGTAGGGCACTTTGCCTCGTGGCATGATGATACTTTGTTGCTTGTTTGTCGCGCGTGGCGAGGGTGCGCACGAAAGGACACGTTAGCCTCTTAGTTGACTGCATGCATGACATCAATAGCCTGCACGGTCAACAAACCGAGCTGTGATGGGTCGAGTCATCGTAGATGCATCGTAGATGTCGGAGACGCTACTTTCTGCCTTTGCTATGTAGCGCTGCGCGATGTCCGCCGCGAGAGCGCGCGGCACTGCGCGAGGGCGGTCGCAACTCAGGGCTATCGGTAGATGCAGGTCTCGCCGCGAGGCGAGGTCTGTGGGCGGAGAACCCGATCTAGGGTCGCACAGATAGAAGCAATATGGAATACCCCTTCTCCCCCCATCCGCACATTGGGATACTTCTCACAATAGCGCCCTTCGTAGGCCCCCGACAGATAGATGGCCTTGGCCGCCATCTCGTCGTCCGAGGTGGTTACAAAACCTCCCTCCCCTGAGTTGATCACCTTGTCCGATTGAGTCGAAAACGCGGAAACCTGAGGAGGCGAGAGAAACATGCGGGGAGGGGGGGGGCAGATGGAAATTCCAATCCGACTAGGATTGGTTTCAGATACAGCGAAAAAAAACAAATTAAATGATTTCGCGGCACCGGTTTGTTGACCGCGATTTATTGACCACGGCCGATTTCTCTCGCGAAAGCTACGACCACGAAATCGCGGCGGTACCTTCGCGCGACATTACGCCTCGAGGGTCCTGTTGAAGGAATTTCAATCGAAGGTGCCAAACGCGAGCATTTTGCTTCCACCAGCATCCCTTTAACGTCTTCTTATATAGGGATGCCCCGCGAACCTCGGCAACACTGGTGTCGAGCATAGCGAGCACGCTAACAAAAGGTGGTTGGGCCAAGTCCGGACGCTATTCCGCCGCCCGGGGCTGACGAAACCATTTTTTTTCCGCGTGAAGCATTCTCTAGCCTGCTCACCGACGTCCACCAAACTCTTTAGAGTTAACGATGACCCAGTTGACATATATGTGCCAAGTTTCAAAGCCACCCGATCTACACGCCGCGTGTGACAGCATAATTCGCCTCCCAGCGGTCAGCCTCAGTGCCAGCAACAGCCAGACCTGATCAGACCGCAATTTCTCAACTCGTACTCAGTCCCTCGACACAGCTCTTACACATCGATGTGGAGCTAGAACTACAGTACACTGTGTTCGACGTCTTTGGTGCATCCCCCTGGTCGGATCACGACGTGCAAGCAACGGTTGTGCTACATAGGGGTGACGCAAAATGCAAGTCAGGACCATGTGGGTCCAACTATCCCGTCACACGCCCCCTGCAGCCGCTGCCCAGCTCCGTGGTTCTCGCCCTTCTGCACAGCTCTTTCGCGAAACGCTCTAACTGGCCTTTCGGCATCATTTGGCTGTTGATTGGCAAAGTATGCAGCTCCCGAACACGAGTCGAAAGGGCTACGTGCGCACCCCGTTCACATTGGGGTCTTCACCCCTGTTGGCGACCAAACAAATATGTTCCAATATCCATCATGAAAACACACAACATCGCTTTTCGTTGGTTTTGCACCTGCATACTGTAGCTCTTTCGCGAAACGCTGCAACTACCCTTGCCCCTGCACCCCCATTTCGCTGCCAGCTGGGAAAGTAAGCAGCTCCGGAAAACGAGCATCGAAAGGCCGACCTGTGCATGCCCGCATCTTTGGCTATCGACGACTGTGGCGGTCAAAACCTGTGTATCAAATGTGCGTGCCAGCAGCCCTCTATTCACCTCTTCTTTTTTGCAATTTGTTTGGCTTCAACCCCTTCGGAGAGGCATTGGCATGCCATGCCCATCGCGTCACCCTCCCACAAGCAATCATCTTGTGATACACCAGTGATCCCTGCACCTAATTCGTACGAAGAGTGTCGGCCGTGCTTTATACAGCTCTAGCGTACCTGTGTGTGTCACACTCCTCTCTTTTGTTGAGTGTCGGGGGTCTCCAACTGACTGTACTCTGTTCTCAAGTAATTGTATTCATAGCACACCGAAGCTTTTTTTTGTTGTCTCTCTCTCCGTCGATGAACCCTTCAATCATTTAAAATTTAAATCCATGGCACATGGCACATGGCACATGGCACATGGCACATGGCACAAAGCCCCCCTGTTCTCCACGTGACCGCAGTGGTTGGTGCTGATGCATGCACTGGACTGCCGGTGGTCTTCCTTTGTATTTTGCGATATCCAACAGGACGGCCAGGACGACCCGGGCGCACAGCAGCAGAGTCGTAACTTTAGATAATGTTGTAGTCCTTCTGCTCCATCGACTGGAATAAATAGATCGCTTGGCTCTATCTACTTGTTTTTATCGATAGACTACTGCTGCTGTATACGATGCACGTCTTTGCACAGCACACATTTTGTGTCAAAGGAACATATTGTGCGTCTCTAGCCAGCCTCCATAGAATGGGCAGGGAAACGAGACGCTCACTAGATCGACTACAGCAGCAGCAGCAGTGTGTACAGTGTCGTGCTACACTAAAGACTAGTACTACATACACTGTAAAGCGAAAAGGGTCGACGCTCCAAACAACAAGCCAAGTGGGTGCAAATGGGTGTGTGTGTGTGCAAAGGGTTGGTTGAGAAGCACGACGATGACAATGACCACTTTCTAGAAGTCTCGGCAATTCCGCAAGCACGTCGGCAAAAGCCTCGGCAAGAAAGCCGCATGCACGCAAGCTCAAAGGAAAGCGGACCTCGGATTGGAGGCAGCCCTGCATGAGCAGGGCAATTAATGAGTGTACAGTGTACAGCAAGAGGGATATACGTACGAGGCTTCTTGGCGCCTTACGCCGCCACGCTGAGAGAAGCGTTCCGCAAGACGCTTGTATCGGCGTTAGTTTTCGCATGGTCTGCTTGTGATTAGCGCTTACTACGTCGTCTGTTGCGGCACCGAAGGGGTGCGTCCACATGGGGTCCACGAACTGGACACGCGCACACTTCTTGGTGTGTAAGGGGTTGTGGTGGGCAGGTGAGCGTTGATGCAAAAAAGCCTGGAGAACTAAACGGTCGGATGGGCTCACCGAAATGAAAAGGGGCCTCAAGCCGGAAAACACCCATTTCGTGCCACATGAAAGACCACATGCAATTCAGGTACACAACAGCCAGTATGATTCCTACTTAATGCATGATGCCCTGCTACCTGACGATGGATTGGTGAAAAAGCAACCACTTTTTTTACTACTCCTCACGGCGGTGATTAAAACAGAATAACGCTTCAGGAAGAGTAAAAATCACAGCCGCCAGTCAGTCCGAAAGTTTTGTGATCACTGAAAAGCGAGCATGGAGTCTACCAACTTGCCCTCTTGTGCGCTTCACGCCGTGGAGGCTTGTTTGCTATGGGTGGTTGTTGGTGGGCACGCGAGCGTTGGCGTTAGGCAAGTAGGTCGGGGATCGGGTGTAGTTTGCTCTCCATGGTTCCGTGTGTGTGATACAAAGGTGGAAAGCAATGAAGTGAATAAATACACTCCACACACTGAATTGCATGGCACGGAGTATTGTACCGCTGCACTGCTAGGTTCATGACCGCCTGGCACAAGGATGAAGAGGAGGATAGCCGACGACGGGCATTACAACGAGACAAGAAGACCAGCAACAGTACAGACATGGCAACAACAAAGAAGGCGAGACGCGGGCAGCAAACGGACAAGACGGCGAGGGAGAAAGCGAGCGAGAAGAGGCAGACCAAGTGAAGCGATATAGGCCGAACGCCTTCGCCGAACACCTTCGTTTATCCCCCCGCCCCCCCCATGATTGCACCACTACCATCGCAACAACACCCCACGAGCGATGACATGCCTTTGCTGTTGCTGGTTGCACTGATTGTGCTTGTTCGCTAGTGTTTGTGTGTGTGTCTTTTTATTTTGGTGTGTCTTTCTATTTTCTATTTTTCTTCCTCCTTTTCTCTTTTTTTTTTTTGTCATTTTCTTTCTTTCCCGGATGGCTTTCTCTCTTCTCTCTTCTCTTTCTCTGTGGTGTACCAAGATTGAACCAGGGGATGTACCCCTCTCTCTCTCTGGCCCGTGATGTTGACTTTCTGCTTCATTTCTACCCCACATTGCATGTAGAGGAGGGGAGCGGAGGGCTCCAGACTATCTGTCGTCGATTTCAATTGGCTTGCGGACCCTTCGGGTCCCATATAGTTGAATATATGTACACCTTTTCTAGGGTAAGTTATCCTGTGACCACGGAAGTCGACGTCAAGTGCTCGATCAGTACGGATAGGTGAAGGTACTGGGTAGAGAGACCGGAAGCCTTTTTAATGTGAAGACAACAACAACCGCTCTAGTCCAATGTGAATAGCACGACGCACCAGCTCTGTTGGTAGGCAGGCGAGCGTTGTCGGCCTTGATATCATTTCATCTCATCAGGAAGGATTCTCACGACTTATCTTGCAAAGAGCACCCACTGCGTGTTGCTGGAAAGACCACATGTGCATCAAGGCTACACACCACGCCATTTGTCGAGTATCGACGCAGTGCGCGAGAGAGTGAGAGTGAGAGAAAGAGAGAGAGAGAGAGAGAGAGAGGGGGGGGGGGGAGAGGAGATAGCGACATCGCCAGACCTTCGCAAACAACAAGATAGGAGAAGATGTATCGACGCAGTACGTGCTTGTTGCTGGAAAGGCCACAGAGAGATCGACTCGTGTGTGTGCGCGCGGGGCACGAGAGGGGAAGAGCATAGAAAGCTGCGACAATGAGAGAGTCGCTCGGAGAAGCAAATGCCCTCTAAATCCAAGTGAAGTGGATGGGAAAAATGCCGGCCTGTGAGAGCCCGAAAAATGGGAATGCCGGCCTGTGACCCGTCCACGCGGAAATTCAATGGCACGTTCTTGGATGAAACGTAATTGACAAGAGTTACGATGGCGCTTAGATCGATCTATGACGGGCACACCTTGGCGTGGTACCCCAGCTGCCGGCCGCGCCACGTCACCCCGGCCGCGTGAGCGCAGTCCTCGACCAACATCAGGCGGTGTCTCTCGCAGATCTCCGACACCCGGTCCATGTCACACACCTGGGATTGGGTCAGATGTAAAGCGGCCAGCGAGTGCAAACCGAACACCACGGCGGTACAAGAGATGCGGTCGGGAGTTCTGCAAGGGGTGCGGTCGGGGGGTCAGAGGTGGACGAGAAGGTTTCCGCCAATCGCGCCGACGGTAAGTCTCAGCGAGCGTTTCCGCGAACGCGAAAAAAAAGGATCGCAACAAATTTCGTGTTTGTGCACGGCAGTGGATGCGCACAGAACTATGGCCGAAAGAGCCCCCAACATCACGCACCTTCCCGCGCATGTGCGAAAGGAGGAGAACTTTGGCGTGCCCCCCACTGGCCTTCTTTTCCAGATCATCAAGGTCCATCGTCCAGCTGGGAGATCAGAGAGGACACGAAACAAATGTGAGAATCTGTCCCTGTTTTTGATATTTTCCAAGTCTTCATTTTTATTTGGTGGTGGTGTTGGTGGCGCTGCAGGTGTCTACATGTCGGGCACACTTCCCGAGCCTCTTTTCGTCAGCCGCCGATCGCGCGGAGGATACTTAATAAAACTTGCACCGCTTTTGAGAGTAAGCAGTCAGGCACCCCTCCGCCAGCGCTATGGCTGTGAGAATGCCTCATTCGGCGAGCGGCAGGGGTGAACGAATTTCGTGCTTAGGCCATACAATCAAACACGCCACTTTGGGGATTCAAGAGCTGGAGCCTCTCGGAAAAGTAGAGGCCCGCAATAGTTGATGGCTCGGGTTTCGCGAGAAACAGACGCTTATTTTTTTTCAGAAACGCACCTCGGCGGTGGAACCTACACGCGTAATGTATAGCCCGTTCTCGACGGTGGCGAGCGAATAAGAATTTGAGCCCCGACCTAAGCTTGACGTTACTTGCTTGACCACAAAAATATGACACCCTAGCGGAGAGCGCCACAACTGAAAGGTACGGATTGGCGGGTCATTCGCTGCAATGGGAGTAAGGCGCATGCCCGGTAAGGTAGAAGGTCTTCAGTGATGGTTTCTTTGCCGCTGCTGGGCTGCAGCATGGTAGACACGTGGAGGACGGCGATATACCAGAAGGCCCCCAACAATCAAGCCACCCAGCAATTCTCCTGCACAGCATATCAATACGCACTTGTCACCGCACTCCACCAGACAGGGCTTCGCTCCTAGTCTCAAAATAGTGGAGGGGACAGCGGTGAACGTGAAGGCGTTCGTCAGCACCTGAATCGTGTCACGAGAAATACGGGGGCGTAGGGTTTCGGGACGGGTAAGACCTCCTCGCCGGTATATGCGGGTCTACAATGCCTTGACACAGCCAGGCGGTGACTGCGTCTGCTATTGCATTCATGTGTGTGTTTTCGACTACGTTGTCGAGTAAGATAGGAAAACTCGGTTCGTCATGCGTCCACTGTGGTCTTGTTTGCATGCCATTGGCCCCCCAGATTGTATGCCCGTACCTCGTCGCCGGCCTTGACTCCAACGCACATGAGACCGATGAGTATCGCTGACGAACAAGAGTTGACCCCCACGGCATATCGCGCTCCCATTGCCTGCGCGAAGTCGGCCTCAGCTAGCGCTACCTGGGGATCAAGTATGCAAACACCCCGGCGGGAAAGGAATTGGAACTAACTGCTGTACAATGCCCTCACGTATATGTTTTTGTCAAACTTGCCGAAGAGCTCCAATCCGGGGTCACGCTTGCGGAAGAAAAAGACGGTTGGCATGCACGATGCCCTTTGCATGACATAGTACTGTAGGAGTTCAGCCACCGGACCACTCAGTTGACCAAGACACAACATCGCCACCCCATTGCCGAACGAGATCGCAACGGAACTCGAAAACAACAAACACCCATGGTACGGACTTCCGTAGGTGACATGAGAGATTGCATCCCCTGGTGCCGATTTGCAAAAGCTCGAATATACTCCACCACGAAGAGGATTGATTCTGAAGCCCTCAAAGGGCGTTAAGTGTGTTTGCGTAAATTCTCAAATCTATATTCGATTTTGACCCCAGATTCTCGGCCCCAGGGTTTTGACCCCAGTCGTGCCGCGTCCGGACTTTTCATTTCGTTTTACATTTGGCGATCTCCGGTCAGGTTCTCGGCCCCACGTTTTGACATTTTGGACCCAAGTCGCGCATCCGGCTTTTTTCGTTTGGTCTTAGAGTTGGCGATCTCCGGTTTCTTGTCTGAAAGCAAGTTATTTTTCATCCGTCGTTGATCTCGAGGTGGAGTAGGTATCTGAGTCGGATGAGTAATATTAGGGTTGCAGTCTCCTGCTTTTGCATCAGAAATGGGTTCTGGACTGGTGATAACGGCGCGGAAATAACATACGCCCGCAGTCTTGTTAGACTTCTTCATCTGACCATCGCAAGAAGCACCTATCGGCACTCTGCGTTTTATCCACGTTTGATTGCTGCGGTTCTAGTACAGTATCTGTCGGATACATAGCCATGTTCACATGGCGGGGGAAGAACGACGCCAAGACGCTTGACGCACGCGACATCCATGGCTTGTGCGCAAACACCGCAAAACATTACGTACATACACATCCAGTAGGACAGAATTCGCAGGGCTGCAATATCTACGAATGACCGAACGAACTCAGAGTTTTTTTTTTTGTTCATCTTAATGTCAGCGCTCACAGCTCACAGTATTTCTGCCGGGTAGGAGCTCCAATCCGTGGTCACACAGAAAGGTTCCAAGGGTGTGTTTACTAAAGCATACTCATACTCACGTGTACTCAACAGTTTGAAAAGGTATTTCAAAAATGTATGAGGTTTGCTACGTCCTCAATGCGTGACCCACGTAAACCCATACTTAACCCAGCCCAAGACATCCATGGATATGATGCCTCGGCTGCACTGCTGCACAACAACGTCAGAAACACAGTGGGAGTAAAAAATGTTCTCACGTGCCCCCCTACCCACCAAAACAACGGTATTTTGTTACACACACATGAGGACACAGGGTATTTCCTTTCGTGAGATGTAACGAGGAGAGAGGTAGAAAGAGTGGCCAGCAGAGGGTAGAGGAAGGAGAGTCGAAGACTCTCCGCCTCCACTCTCGGCTGGTGGTCAAGGACGATGGAAATGTTTCTCTGTAAATAGAAATCTATGGCGATGTAGACTTGAAGTAGGAAATAATAGTGCTTCTTCCGCAGGGCATGACCGCCACCACCATCGTGCATCTTGGGACTCCCTTCAATACGCGCGTCGCGGCAGCCACCGAAACCTATGTACTGCTCTGCGGATAAGAGTGATTCACGAGCCATGGACACCCTTCCGACCCGTAGAATATTACAGAAAAATTCTTGAGCCGATTTGGAGAACTACTGCAAGTAGCCTATTGTATCGAGAGCAAGGGGCAGACTCAGCAGACAGATTATTGGTCATGAAAGGGTGGTAGTTACTTGGGACGGGATCCAGGTGTCTAGTTCTAATCCTCAGCTTCAGCTTGTCTTTCTGCCTCCGCACGCTTGTCGCGTATAGTCCATATGGTGACTGCGCATGAGGCGGGCAAGCGTGATCCGCGTGATGCCATGTCGTCAAATAATTCTCATACAAAAAATCTGGCTCCGGGGCGGGTGCTACAAGTAAGTACCGACGGTGACATAAGATGCAAACCGTCTTGACCGAAGTTCAAAGCTCGACAACTCCGAAGCACAAAGAGTGGCGGTGCCGAAAATGGCGGCATTGCAACCGTTTCGTCGAGATCTCTCGTTGTCATGGAGGTGGAACAATCGATATGTTCCGTGACCTGCACAACAAAGTGTAGTCTTCTGAGCAACACCCAATTTTCCGTACCTGTGAGAGCTCCGCGGCCTCAGTGCTATACCGAAAAAGTCTTCCGCTGCGAAGCACCTCCATGGCAGTCTGAAGACCCTCCTCCGGAATATCCAAGGGTCTGGTGAAGTCCTTCTTAAAAGCGGTGGGCATGGGAAAGTCATCATGATCCGAAAATCGATCCACGCCGCGATCTATTCCGACAGGCCTGTTGTGGTTGCTTGTTGAAAGCTCAAATGCGCCGCCAAACCCGAAGCCGAGCAACAGCGCAAAGCTAGTGGCGGACAGGAAATGCCGTGGCCACCATGAGGGGGCCATCTGAGCTTATGTGTCAGCCTGGCAGACCGCACAGCACAAGCAGCGCACGTCGAATGTGCGGATGTGCGGTGGCTCTGGTGCTGTGAGACAGATCCCCGCGGATAGCATACAGACCGCGCGGAGGGCGGGGGCTATATAGTGCTGATACTCGTCGTCGGCCCCCCCCAAAAAACCGAGTTCAGCGCCGCAGTGCGAGATACCATACCGAAGCATGCGTGGGACACTGGTTGCGCGAGTTCTGTCGCGTAGAATGAGTGCCCAAGGGGGCGCGAGTCCTGCCCCGACAGACCCCTTTGGTCATTGCAGCGATGTAGTAAAACGAGGGGACTACGACGGTTATCTCTACAGCCTTCTGCAGGGCGCTCAGTTGAGGTCGGTACCAGACGGAAGCTCAAATGTCGGTACTTCTTCGTGTAAACACAGCTGGCGCTGCGCTGTCGTCGGAGCATCTTTGTCAGATTTTCACGAGAGTTTTTGTGAGCGTTCGGCATCTGATATCAGGACATTGGATGTGTTACGTTGCAGCTTTTTTGCATGTGTACATGTGCCAGCCGTGCGAATTTCTAAATGCGGCGTAATTTCGATCATGATCGATGATCGATCCGACGCGCGGTGCGAGCGCCGTCCTGCCTCATTGTGACCAACGCATCCACGTTTGCCCACCCAATGCCGACTGTTACAACACGCAACCTCGGCCAATCGGCTGCACGTGAAACGATCAGACCAGCATCACTAGCCATTAGAGCGTTCAACGTGGAGACTGCCGCCATCAAGGACTCAGTCCGAGGGAACGTCATGCCGGGGAAGATGCGGATGCAGTGGTGGAAGGACACGATGGCAGGTACAGCAGTACGTTCGGAAGCCCTCTTGTAGTTCTCTGTAGCGCGAATTCTCAAAACCTGCACTCGATTTTGACCCAGTTTACCCCAGTTTTGTGCCCCGGTCACGCCACACTTCTGTTATTTCACTTGGTTTTAGAGTTGGTGATCTCCGCTGTTCTCGAGATTGCGGCGACAGATTTTGGAGTGAGGTGGAACAGGTGTCTCGTCCGCCCCTTCCTACACGTTTCGGACAAAAGCTTGTTCCCGTTTTTGAGAAGCGCGCGTCTCTCTTCATGACCTAGTCGTAGATCTCCTCGGTGCCACACCGAACCGGACGACACCGGATATTACCCCCACGGGTCATCAACATGTTCAGTTGCCGCAAAACACCCCAGTCCCGCCCGCTGCAGTCTGAGCCGCGGGGCTTTCAGCAGGGTTGCTAACTGCACCCCCCCTCCACCGCGTTGTCGGCCTCCATGGCTTTTGCGAGCAGGTTGTGCTTGTGATCTCGTGTTCTCACGTTGTCACACCGTGTGATAAGCGGGGGCTCCGTCGAAAAATGAGGCTCAACTTTAGGGGATGTGGTGTCTTATATATATATGTGACCGTTTGATAAAATGACACTTCTTTCGGGGTAAAAAAAAATAGCACACGGGTGTAGTACTGTGTTGTGTAGGGTCGTACCGTGTGGAACCTACGGTTGTGCCCCAGACCATCCCTGACCAGATGCACTGCCGGCCCTTGTCACACTGGTTCTCGGGAGCTGGATAGTTTCTCCTTTGACATATTGGACGAACAAGCCCTCCACGGGGGAACGTAGGGCCCCTGCTGAGACGACTCCCTCAGCAGCCGCGTGCATGACACCGTACGTACTGCTGGGGCCCGCCCAACATAATCTACTGCTGCTGAGACTCCACAGCACCGGCTGCGCCTGCCACCGCGGGTGCCGCTGAAACCTGCGGAGCAGATCTACCGACTCCCGCAGCACCCACACCTGCCACCGAAAAGGCTCTCCCGCGAACCACTATCACCCTGACCGCGGCTACTGCTGAGAACCCTGCAGCAGCCCCGCGCTGCGGAGAACCATCGTGCACCAACAAGCCCCGTGGGCAGCGCCTCTTTGGTTGTTGTTTCTAGCTTTGGTGATATGTTGCTGATGCTTGCTTGCAGTAGTGTTTACACATTGATAGTAGATCTTTAGGACTAACGCGTTCTAATGTGTTCTGATTGTTCGGGCGTTGTTCGGCGTTGGTTCTGGCGGCCGATTCCTCTCCAGCGCCCTCTCCCCGTTCCGCATTCCGAGCACGCGGCGCAGCCGCGTGCTCGCCCAGTTCGCGGCCGCCAGGCCGCCGTGCTTTGGCCGTGGGTGAGGGTTAGGGTTGGGGTTAGGGTACATGTGGGGTGAGCAACCTAGCCTTGCTCGCGTGAAGAACCTAGCCTTGCTTCGGTCAACATCGGTTAGTCCTAAAGAGTTACTAACAAAGTGTAACCAAGGCTCCTTGCTTGCGTCCTACATAGTTCCAGCTTGAGCGATGAACGCATGTCTTGTAAGTCGTTGCGTCGTTCAGGTACTGGTGTGCTGTCGTTTTGCCGCACACAGCACCGCCAAAACCACTCTGAGGTACCGGTAATACACGTTCGTTCGTTGTTTACGCGAAGCATTCAAAAGGATAATGCGAGAATGCACGTGAGAGAGCACGCGATGAAGTGGGATTTGCCACCCTAGCTATACAGCTCTACCTTTTTTACACCCCTTCTGCTTGAGCACACTGCATCACTCGGGCGACAATTATATCACACCCCGGTAAGTAGGGTACTGTGAGCGCACTGCAGCTCACGGGCGATATTATCACACCCCGTGTAGGCCGGATCCTGTGAACGCGCTTCATCACACGGGCACACGGGCGATGTCATCACAACCCCTTGTAATCTCACCCCCTGTAGGCGGAGTTCTGGGAACGCACTTTATCACACGGGTGACATAAGATATCACACCCCCTACAGAATACCACACCCGTGTGATAACTTTGTTGCCCCCAAAAAAGTCATCACATTTTGTGGTATCTCATGCAACCTATGGTACGTGGGACGACCAGTGTGAAAAGGGCCGGCAGCGCACCTGCTGAGAGATGGGCTGGCATCAATGCCCATGCTTCTAGATGCCTCGTTTGGGAGATGATGTGCATAGAAAAGGACCGCATGCCATGACGTCATGCAGGCTCGATCTATCATCAACCATGGTACTGCCGACATCGTTTTGTTCCCGTTCTTGTCCCCACCCTATTTTCAACAGAGACTATGTAAACTACGAACCTATGTCTATGGGTGTACCGGCCGGCGCGATGTCGGGGGACTGCCGAGCGCGAGGTGACAACCATTGATCGAGGGTCGACGCGCCAGGCCGACGCGCAGCAACCACGCAATCCTGTCACATCTGGTGTTCCTGCTACAATATGTATACTGCTATCGGCAACATTTTTTCTTGCGTCTGCAAATTTGCGCAGTCCGCAGTATTCCGCGTGTGCACACGCATGGATATGGTAATATCCACCCAGACTTCATTGCACGCATGGTTGACTGCAAACAATACCGGGGACCCTTTGTGTGTTTGCTGTTGTCGTGTGTATTCATGAGAAAATCAAAGTAGATGAAAAACTTGCGCGTGCGAGCGATCGTACACCACACACACCTGACGGGTGATCATGGCGCGTAGTCATGGATTGGGTCAACTACGAGGATTGAATGTATGGCCCGTCCGGGGCTTCCGATCCACTTCGCCGCCCTGCACTTCGGTGCACTTTTCTCGGGGTAGGGGTGGTTGTTCCGAATTTCAAAAACACCGTAAGAAGCCCTGTCTCCAGGTGCAGAAATCAAAAGTTCGTTTTTTTTTTTGTTCGTTGACTTTTTATTTCAAAATATCCAGTTTGTTCGCAATCTGCTGGAGGGTCTACTTTTCAGGGAACAAATCTAAGACCGGATTTCAACAGCTCGTGGAATTTGCCAGGTGTCGCCTCTTTCCAGAAAAAAAGATATCAAGAAACGACGAAGTTATGGCCCATAAACCGATTCTGGAATGGCATTTTGTTCGCAATCTCCTGCGAGAAACAACTTCACGATTTTAAAATAGAGTGCGGCAAACGATTGCCCTCGAAAATCCGCAGGTGTCGCCTTTTCCTGGTTTTTCCTAAAAACGAAATTTTATCAGATATTCGGTGACGTGCGTGCCGCTGTGAGAGACGAACAGGTCTCGCACGCACACACACACCAGACATTCACCACTCAACAAAGCAGCGCACAAGTGGCCACACGGTCACACACAAGCCCCACATATGCCGCGACGCAAGAAACGAAGAACAAAGATGGCGCAGAACGCGGATGGAACCATCGCGCCACGTGCTCAGGCAACAGCACCACCAGCACAACTCGTCGGTTCTGGCCATGAATCCGATGTTTCTCCCATGGATGTTGTCGAGGATGACAATGCCCTTGACGAATGCAATAGGATATGTGGTGTTTGATATGCATATCATACGCATACGAGTATACACAAAGCGGTTACAATTGGTGCAGAGCTTGAAAGCTCTGGGAGTTTCCGTGATATGATTAGGAGGGTTCCGTGGTATGTTTAGGGGGTTCCATGGATCATTTTGGCCCAAATGTTGCATTTTCTCAAAATTAAAAAAACTCTGCAGCTATCGACGTAGCTCGACGAGGCGATCACGAATATCGTTGTTTCATGTTCCAACTCTTATTTTACAAAAGTTATCGCACAAAACAAGAATGGACAAATTGTCCCGGACGGACCATACGTGCCTTAGTTTTTTGCGCGTGGCAATTACGGGACACATTATATGGCGCGCGGGGTTGCATGCAGACTTTGTTGCACTCATGGTTGGTGCTCAAGTGCACTATTCACTACCGGTATTCACTAGGTGACTGCCGTAAACGAGCGTGTCATGACACCGGGGTGTGATCGTTTTTTCTATCATTCCTGCCTTGTCCTTTTATCGCACCCCGCTGCCTTAACACCGATAGGTGCCATGTCACCGATACCGGTGCGGAAATGCAATTCAATAATTTCGTTCTAGATTCCAACGCACCCCCAGTACGATGGCACCGATTGGTGCGATACGGACGAAATCACAGAGTCCCTTTTACGGTGTTGAATAAATCACTGCTTCGCGCACGCCTCGACGGTACGATATACATACCTGAAAAGAATGTCGCCCCAATTGTTACCTACCGGCACCCACAAACTTTCGCTACATTTAATTCCAATCGTGGCCCGGAGAGTACCGGAACATTGCGGAAGTACGCAAATGTACGTCTTAACACCGCTTTTTATTGGAGCACAAAGTTGCGAAAATGTCAAAGTTTCCAAACTTTTCTCGCAACTTTCCTCTTGTACGCTCTTTGTCGGAGTAAAAAGTTGCGAAAATTTGCTTTGTAAAAAATTCGCGCGATCGGGAGCAAATGGTTTGCAGCTTTCCTCGCGACGAAAGTGTCGAACAAAAGTTGCGCGGCGCAACTTCCGCAAATCCACGTCAAGCACCTACCCCTTGACCATTGCTCGAGCTTGTTGACCATTTTCCGCCGATTACTGGCGAATGGAATGACTGATTACTTCCGCCCCAACGGTTGGCGGTCTCTTGGACCTCCGTATTCCACATTGACACCCCCAGGACAGATACCACCACCCTCACACACAATGCCACACCGGGTGATAACATTTTCAACTTGAGTCCAACACGTAAAAATATTCTCAGATCTCCCCATAAGATGTATAGCTGTCGAACTGAACTTCAAGATGCAAATCTACTTTTTCCGCATCCTTGCCTGAGCCGCCCGCGTGTTGTCGTGTCGAACAGATGTATTCGTGGGGGAGCCGCCGCCCCTCCCGGTCGCCCTTGCGTTAGCTGAGGTGGTCGCCAATCAAAAAGGCGGACTTACGCGAAGATGGTTCGACCGTGTGCTAGACGCAAGGATGGCTGACTTGGATAGGACGCAACCAGAAACTTTGGAGGAGATGGAAACGTAAGTGGAGGCCTTGTGGAAGGGTTGCGCTTGAGCTATGTACTTGCATGTATCGTTAAGTGTCACACAAGGTTCAGCTGCACGTAACCCACGACACTTGGAGGAGATCCTAATGAATCTTCAGCGTATCCTTGTGTATGACTTGCAGTCGTGGGACGAATGGGAAATCTTCTAGGCATTCCAAGCCAGCCGCATCTGTATGTGGCGTTTTAGTTGCCTGTACCTTCTAAGAACGTCGCTTTGTCCGCGCGGAACAAGAAACATTTTTTCTACATAAGCAATAGCCCGGCGACGACGGCGTTCAAGTTTTTGTCCCGGCCGACTACCTGTTTCAACATCTCCCATTCGCCCGGCTTCGCGAGACCCACTCAACATAATGGTCATTGATTTGTCAACAAGAATACAGTGAAGTATGAAAACGGTTCTGGAACCGGACTCGGAACCTCAGGCAAACCCCTTGGACCATGGAACGCAACACCAGCGAACATTATTGCTTTCCTCATTCCAGTTGGCGGGACTCCCGTGTACACCCTCCACCGACGGCAGGTACGCCGAGAACACGGCCTCATCCCTCTTGTACCTGTCCCTAGAGCTTGCCGGGGTACGCGCAGGGGCGGGGCCGGGCGCGGCAGCCTTGGGACACGCTGCTGGACATGTGGGGAAAGCCGCGGGCATCTGCACCCTCCTCCGGTCGCTCGCCCTCCCGCCCCCGCCGGCCGCGCTGAGCAGCGGAAGCATCGGCTTCGCGGAGTCGTGCGTGCTACCCTCCGACGTGATGCGGAGGTTCTTGCTCCGACACGCCGTGCTGGAGAGGGGGCCGCAGGACGACAAGGAGGCCCATGCGCTTGCCGAGTGCGTGTTCGCCGTGGCCTCTGTCGCGAAGGGGCACATCGAAGCCGCGGAGGAAGGTCTGGCAGCGGCACGGGAAGAGACGGGGGGCAAGCTTCCCGCCGGAGCGTTTGCGGCTCTGCTGCCGGGAGTTCGGGTGGCGTGGTACCTGGAAACGCTCCAGGCCTGCGGGTTCAACGCGTTCGACGAGAGTTTGAGACCTCAGAGCCCGTTCAAGTTCCAGCTGCGCTTGGGTAGGGCTGTGATCACGGAGAAATTTTGAAGGGTTAGTTTCGTGGCAACCTTTGAAATAGCCCGTGTGGGTCCTCTTTTACGGAGTACCATCCACGGTTCGAGCTCAAACAAATATGAACGGTTGACATGTGATGTGGGTTGGTAGCATTTTGTCGAGATTCTTCCCCGATCGGCAGGACTGGCGGGCATCAAATTCTTCAGTTTGTTTGCGCTAGTGGCGTGCTCCATGGCACGTGGCGATGGAGGGGTCCGTACCAACCGGCTGCGACTATCACAATAACTGCCTCTCGGTTTATTTCGTTCGTTTCTCACCACCTGAACCTGAACTATCGCCTCCCGACGTTGTGGGTCATCAAACCATCGGAAAGCCCATGTTTCGCACCCTTTTCGTACGTACACGCCAGTTATTTTCTAGCGGGCGGTGTTTCGGTGCACCGTGCCCGAATGCACGCGACATTCCAGGCGAAAAATTGTTGCTCCTAAGAACGTACAGCAGAAACAGTTTGATCACCCGAATGGAAAACATGTCCTCGAGAAGACCCCCGGTCTACTTGGTGTCCCGACAAAATTCCCCAAGTGCGCCCAACTATTTCGACCGAAAAACACATTCTTTATGGGGTACGGTTTGGCGGCTCCCGTGTGACTTTTGTTACACCACCTTGCAAAACAAGCTTCGAGAATACGGAACAGCTGGTGACCCTGAAACAAACCATACATACACGTGGCTCGTTTGTTGGTGAAGCCCATGCAGACATCCACTGTAGAACTGGGTACTTAAAAAGAACGAGTGAAAATCCGCACATTTTTTGCTGCCGGCTCAGGCCTTCATCTTGCTCAGCAGTTGCCTTTTTCGGTCAGAGCGTATCATTCTACGCAAGCCATAATCGAAACAATATGCACCGGATAAAAACTCGCCCACGCGAATCCCCGTGGGGTACTCCTTCCTCTCCCTCCTCCCGGACTCTACGTAAACTTCTAGAATAAACTGTCAGAAAAATACAGGGGAGCGGGAAAACATTCATATGCCGCCGTACAACATCGGCTCCTTCGCGAGTTGAAGAGAAAATTCTTCGAGAAATATCACAACTATCTTGAAATGTTCGTAGACTGGTCGCAGGTGGCGCATTGCAAGAAAGCTGTCGTCTAACGCTCGCAAAGCGAGGTAGGGTTCAAAGCCTTACAGCACGAGAGGGCATTCTGTCAAGAAACACTTGCTTTGATGGTGACTGGCGTCGACGCTACATCTCTGTGGCTTGCTCCGTGGATCGTAGACAAAGCAAGGCGTTTCATTGTGTGCCGCGTGTGTACGGATACAAGGCACCCACAGCGAGCCAGTCCAAAGCCACTAGACAACCCGCACTAAAAGGAAACAAAAAAAAATACCGCTAGCATATCTTGTACCAAACCAGTCCCACACGCAACAGCCCTACCTGCTGCACAGGTACATATACACGCTACACGAAAGTCCCATCTACACACCATACTCAGTCGGATTTCGTCAGGTGTTTTCAGGATCTGTGTTCCTCCTCTCCCGGTGTTGTATCTTTCGCCCCGATTCGCGTTACCCGCCCCCTCACCCTCTTTCCCACGTTCGATACGCTCGACGCTACGCGCCCAATCCATCGGAACCGCTTCCGACCCTTCCCCTCCTCTACCTCCAGCGGCTCCGTTGGAAGCAGTGCCTCCCCGTCGGCCACCACAGCAGCAGCGGTCGAGCTGTGCTCTTCCGCCCGGAGCTGCTTCTCGACCGTGCCTTGTTGCTCAGTGCCCAAAGCGGGAGCCGAGATAGCAGCAGCGACGTCACCAGTGGAAGCACTAGCAGGAGCGGTCGATGGCGGGGTCGGGGGTGTAGAGCCGTTTGGTCGGCCGATGGCATTCCCGTTGTTCGTTTTAAACGCTTCCCGCATTTCGCGTGCTTTCGGGCTCTGTGCACAGCAGACATTGGCAACAGCACGAGCGCACAGTTCGGATTCTGAAAACGAAAGTTGCATATGTGCGTCGGATCATTCCGAAGACGTCATTGTACTGCACATGTGGTGGAGAGTTGTTTCCTTGCTCAACTACAGTAGTGCCGTAAACATCTGTACCTTGAGCGACGTCAGAGGGAATTTTCTTCTATCTCAACAGAGGGTTCAATATGCCGGCATATGCTGAAGGCACGTGGAGGGCAATATCTCCTGTGGGGTCTTCTTATTTTGAGAAAAACATACATGTCAAAGAGAGCGGCAGAGACAAGTAGCAGCGGGTGGAAACAGGACGGTGTCCCATGTCTCGGTCTGCTTGTCCAGCAGGCAGCGATTGGCGAAAGCGACTACTCTTGTCTCCAAGCACATAGTTTCTAACGGGCGTGCCCACGGTTGTGTTGGTGCACACACAAAAAATAAAAAAGGTGGTTGAGGCACAAACCGGAGGCACACAAGGACAAACACCACGTGTTTGATTTTACAGTGATTTTCATTTTCCTTTTGCAGAGCCGATATCGTTGGTGGTGTTGGTTCATTGTTGTGTTGTTTTGCACACGAATTTACTAGCACTATAACTGATGAAATCATCATCTGCATGGTATAATCATCTGTCCAGTAAAGGCGGTGTCATTTGTAAGCGTGCTTCGCTGTGCTTGACACTTCCCCCAGCCAGAACGACGAGCTGGGTCTTCTGGACGAAGACGACAGCATGGACGCGGACGACGAGATACAGGGCATGGAAATACCCGGCAGCTTTCGCATTCAGGCGTCAATGCCCGCTGCTTTTGATTTATGTTGACACATAGCTCGTGGGGTAAGTTTGAGTCGAACACGACAGAGCAGGGTGGATGGTGCGACTGTGGAGCTGTAGCTGTGTACAAACGGGCGTCCACAATCTGCTTGTAGTGCAACGCCCACGGTCACCTTGCGGATCAACAAGTTTGAGAGTTGCTCCACTATGCCGTACGTTTCACTGCCTTTGGAATGCCTTCATGTAGAGGCTGATCGCGGAAGCTAAGGTTTGTGTTTGATACAGGGAAGTCCTGACATATCCTAAGATCTCAGCTGCAAGTATTTTGTGATTTTGTGCCACTGCTGTTGCCAACGCATGCGGCGAAACAAACCAAATGAACGCGTTTTTCTCTGGTGAGAATATCTTTTGCACTACTGCTGCTGTACTCCGTACTTCATAGTTGTACAGAAGCCGCGTGTACGTGCCCGGTGAAATCGCGCGAAACAGAACAAGAACATTGTCTCCCATTCTGAACTCTGTGTCTAATAACGTTTGCCCGTTACATGTATAAGGCCGGTCAAATCCCTCCGCACGGTGCGGCCTTGTACAGGGACCGCTACTTTTGTACCTGCAAGATAGATCGCGCTCCCAGGCAAGGTATCTACGTATCTACCGTTGTTGTTGGGTGGGCGAGTCGTTTGGTACACGTATGTTGAATACCGGTAGACTTGAGAAGAAGTAGATCGCCAGCGGTTGCACCGCTGCCGTCCTGCAGAAAAAACGCTCGGGAAAATCACCCACAGCTCTAGTTCTGTTGTAAACACTAAACGGAACGCGCGGAACACACAGGTACACACCGGGTTTGCTACCTCGAGTACAGCCGTCCTCAAACCGGCGAGCTTCTCCGAGTTCCTCTTCCGCGCGTGGTTCGCCTGCTTCGCGTGATCGTTGCTGCCTCCTCCGTGTTCAGCAGCATCCTTTCGATCTGGCGCCGCCGTAAACGCGTGCTGCTCGTGCCAAGTATCGACAGGGGTGGATGTTGCCGTGGCACCAGCCTCTTGGCGTGATCTATCTTCAAGCCTCTCAACCAGGTCCTTGAAAGCTTCGCTGGTGATGAGAGCCTCTCTCACTTCATCCGCGCTTGCACCAGCGATAGCGCGGCGTGGGGTTCGCGCCTGTCTGCTTCCTTGCTGAAGTCTATGAGCACCACCACCAGCAGAATTTGATATCAACCCCCGCACAGGCAGGCAGGCTGCAAGCACAGCGGCCAATCGTAAGAAGCTCATGAAGCTTCCTGTGGTCTGAGGTGTGTCTGTTCTCTTTTATCACCACATCATCACGTATGCACGACATGAGATAGCGGCGAAATAGGGCGGGGGCGCGCACACCGGAAAGGAAGGGGGGGGGTCCGTGAACATCACCTTTGCAGCTCCCTCTGGCCGCCGGCATACCAGATACCAGATACACCACAGGCATTCACACAGGGTACACGGTGGGCGTGATCAGAATCTAGCGCCTGAACTCTCCGAGCCGCTACTGCAATCTCTTGCTTCACTCCCGTTTATTGGCCTCTGTGATGAACGGCATGTGCACCTTTGACCCGGCATCTCTGCACGCATTGGCCGCCGAGATCTTCAAACTTGTCTCATCATCATGTGGCACATCTTCAGAGGAATGGGTCGAGTGGCTGCGGGTGCCGCTGAACTGTGCCGTAACCAGTGGCAACGAAGACCTTGTGACGAGGCTCCTCGACACCGGTGGTGATGTCAACCGGCTGGACCACTTAGGGAGATCGACGCTGTACACTTCCATCGTTCACGGCAGCATCAGCACTGCTGTTACAAAAGGACGCTTATCTCGGCCGGAGCTGACGTGAACGATCGAGATCCGGCGGAAGGATGTTATCCCCTCCATGCCGCTGTGCGTCGGGGGTGCGACCGTGTCGTAGCTGACTTACTCGCAGCGGGAGCCGCTCCAAACAACACAGACGGTGAAGGTATTTCGCCGCTCTTCCTGGCGTGTCATCAAGGCGACGAATCCTCCGTCAAGAACCTCCTGGCTGCCGGTGCGGAGTTTACTTTTGAGAGTTGTGCTGGTTATGTGGTTATCGCGTCAGAGGTCTTCCCTAATGCAGAGATAAATGTGGCCACACAGCTAGGGCATGTCGGTGTTATCAAAGCCTTCTTAGAGCATGGGGTTGACGCCAGTAGTCAAGCTTGCCCTGCAAGTGGCTGGACCGCTTTGCATCAGGCGGCCCTTGACAACCAAGCAGAGGCAGTGGAGGTGCTTCTTGAAGCCGGGGCCGATGCTGACGTGGAATCGCTCCCTGGTTCGCCCTGCTACGACACCCCTCTTCTCGCCGCCGCTGAAAGCATGTCCAACGAGGCCCTGCGCGTACTGTTGCGAAACGGAGCCGATCCGAATAAACCAGACGACAATGGGTCCATGCCATTGCATCTCGCAGCCCATGAGCAAACACCAGGCGTAATGGAAGTAGTGGATCTTTTGCTGAGATGGGGGGCGTCAGAGACGGCTGTCAATAAGCACGGCAACACACCTGCTGAAGTATTCCAAAGGCTGGCAATCCACCGCCCTGACGCCACAGAGGAGAGGGCGGGCGCGCTCGTGCTACTGGCGCGTGCTCCAGCGGACAGAGCATGGCGCCGCCGCGGCTGGGTCGTCATGCTTCGTGCGCGGTCCGAGACGGAGAGGATAGCGGCCCAACGACGAGGTGCTACAAGCAGCAGCGAAATGAGAGTCAGCGGCCGAAGGGCCCGCTTGGATGAAGAGGGTGACCACAGCAAAAAAATGGGCCGGGCGGGCGATAGGGCGCAGGATGTAGCCGCCGCGACCGGAGGACAGAGCACGGGCAGCGGAATCTGGAGCGAGTGGGTGACTAAGCTGGTGGGACTGGAGTCTTGCGGAGTCTTTCGAACGGTTGTCGAAACCTGTGAATGAAATGGCGTGGGACAAGCAGGTGCGTTTTCGTCGGCCGACACCTACCGACCAACGATCGATTTCTGCCTCGTACGGTTCACATACGCTCCAAAAGTGTCGTTCACGCCCTTGATCATATCCAGCTGCCGAGATAGATGTCGGTGCGACAGTTATATCGGCTTGCCGTTGGCTTGGCATGCCCAAGCAGAACCCGAAAGCGCACGGCGTGGGTTCTTTTAGCTCAAACCCCAACCGAACGAGGCCACAAGCTAGTGTTGTCTGTTTCTACCTTCGTCAGGAAAGGTATCATTTTTTATTTACCTTGCCGCTTGGAATTGAGGGTCCAGTTACCGTCCCGAAACAGGATGTGGTCGTGCTTTTCAACCCCTAAGAAACGGAAAGCTCCTCTCTTTGTTGTTGGTATTTAGGGCTCTTCAAGTTCAGAAGGCGCTCCAAGCACCGACGAGCCCGTGTGTCTCAAACGGGCTCATGACGTGCTGGTTCCAGCTGCAGCTTGTCGTAGCTCTGACAAACTGTGTACGGCGAATTGTCTGCGACAAGCGAACTGCTGTTTCCACGCTCCGCGCTATGTGGCCCCTACGCCGCTTTTTTCAATAACACAACACCCTGGTATCGAATGTGTGGCATGCTGAGCACGACGCGAAGCAATCTTGATGTTGTTCAAAACCAGGTCCTGTTGAAAGCAGGACGTCTGTTTCGTAGAGCTTTTCGAACAGGATCGGATTCCAGCACCAGCATCCCTTCTTCACTCCCGTTTCATCACTCGGCGTGTGTTGCTTGCGCGTCCGCTCTTGCTGGTACAGCTCAAGGCGGAATCACTGGTTCTGACGGAACGCGGTGAACCCTGTTCGTCGGGACAACAGTACGTGTGCTCGACCCCCCTGATATCTATATTTACCGGCGAGCACCCCGAATGATACGGATATGAAAGAGATAGGATAACTCCCTGGTTGTTGGTTCGAGGAGGGGCCAGGTGCCTTGATTGCTTCCAACCGTCGGTGTGGTTGTTTCGTGCGTAGACTGAGTTGCCTCCTGTTGTGCGCCGGCGGCGTCATCCAGACGCCACTCCAAGCTTTTCTGAGTTGTTTTGTTAATCTTCCAGAGGTGGACCGGGGCTTCTATGAGAGCTGCAATAGCAATGTAGGCTATCGCGCGACAGCACTTGCCTTTTTTGTTCACACCTGGAGCCCCTAATTCTTGGTTTAGTTCGACGCTTTCCCGAAGCCGTTTGAGGCGGTGTGCCACGAAGGACAGAAATTGGATAGGCCGACGCGCTGGCGAAGAGAGTACTGCATACTCGGGATACGTGAACTCATGAAGGATGGAGGATCAATCATACCCGAACTGTGTAGAAAGAGCGATGCCATTGAGGTGTGTGTCGATGATGCATGGTGAAGTAGCGGTTGCAAGAACAAAGACTACGGGGCAGGCAGAAAAGGCCGCCTGCGTTGATGCGCGGCCCGCAGGGCGGGTTGTTGGATGCCGTCGAATGAACTCCCCTTTGCTCTTGCGCATTTCGCATGGCCGAAAAGAGAGCGGTCATCCTTCCACTTGCACTTTTCAACAACTACACGGAGGTTGCACGCATGCTGTTGTGATGCGGTGGTCGTAGCATTTGCGTAATGACATGTTCGTTTCTGCAAGACACGTAAACGAACTCACATATATCTATTTTTTTCCTGGTTTGCCAAGTGCTCAAGAACTCAGGAGACACCCGTATGGGTACAAGCAAACATGGCCACATTTACTTGACATTTACCGACAAAAGCAGCAATAACCCAGGGGACACGTTGACTAGTATATGTAGGTGCCTTCGAGTACATGCACGTCGGCTCCTCCTGGCCTCTGGGCATCATTTGCGTAATGGCGTGTTCGTTTCTGCAAGACACGTAAACGAACTCACATACGTCTATTTTTTTTTCCTGGTTTGCCAGGTGCTCAAGAACTCGAGAGACACCCGTATGGGTACAAGCAAACATGGCCACATTTCTTGACACTTACCGACAAAAGCAGCAATAACCCAGGGGACACGTTGACTAGTATATGTAGGTGCCTTCGAGTACATGCACGTCGGCTCCTCCTGGCCTCTGGGCATGTTGATTATTCCACCGTACGTACACGCAGCACATGCCACGGCACGCCATGTGTGCATGTAGCACATCGCATCCAAGTTTGCATCACACGCTCGTGTCCAGTGCAGCCAAGGCCATGCCAAACGCCTGCATGGGGGACAGGGGATACCTAAAGTCCAGGGCAAACTCGTCCACGCCAGACTTTCCGAAAGACAGTAACATGGAATCTTGTGCCCACCACTCGCCCCGTTGTTCGCGTCCATCTACGTCCCACCCTCTACGTCGCTGGGATATGTTCCCGGGGCGACGATCCTCCCAAACAACGTTTCTTTGATTGTTGTCCCCACCGATATATCCTCGAGCGTGGTCGTCGGCTACCACCAGTTGGACGTTTTTGATGGAAAGCTTCGACGTGGAGTTGGGGAAGTCGAGGACGTACGCACCCACCTACGGCAATACGAATAATTTTCACGATAGTTAACACGCCGTCGGTTCGGTAAGTTCGTACAAGCTTGTTATTTGCATCATTTAATGCACGGAGTCTGTGCTTCGTAAAGGTAAGAAAGTGTCAAAGTTGTCACGTACGCTTGGTTCCAATATGAATCAACCCATTGCGCCGCAATGAGGATGTCACCCGTTCCTTGACGTGTGCGTACATCGGGAATGCCACAGGGCACAACAAGTCACAAGGCCGCACCACATCGTGATCGCTCTGTGATAAATCTGGAACTGGTGATTCAAGCAGCCGTTAGTCTTTTGTTATCCAACCGAAATGCGAGGACCGTACGTTTTCAAACCCGAAAGGTTGTGGGTTACACTGCTGGTGCATGTATGTGACGGATGTTTCGTATCGGCCTCACACTGCGTGTGGACACGTTTCTCCATTTCTTGGTAACATCCTGAATCCTTGACTCACAGTTCGGTCGTAGCGCGGCTTACGATCGCGAAGATGCATGACGTCGTCCCAAGGGTGGTTGTATGTTTCAACGTCGCCCGCTTGGTACTGTTCCGCGGGACCAGGAACAAAAGCCTTCGGAAGAAACGGGCAAGAGCATTTACGGGCTTTCGGTTGGAAACGAAACGATAAAATCTTAGTGGCAAGTAGCAGGAGGATTGAAAATCATCGATGGGGTAGGGAAAAGAGAGGGGACGTGTTCTCCGCGGGGTACTTGGCGATCACGCCATGCCTCCAAGTCAGAAGCATCCGGTGGGAATTTGTTGCGTCGGAGAGGTGGACTTCAGTGCTGGAATCACGCGTGCCCGTGATGATGTTGTAGACTAAAGCCTCAACACGACAAGGTGTTGTGCCAGGACACCCGTACAGAGGTTGGTGCGTACGACAGATATCGTACATGACGCCAGTGCCACCGGACAGATATACTGGCGTAGAATTGAAGTACGACCAGTGCGGAAGGTCTTGCGTGGCCATTGGCAAGCGAACCAAACGACAAAGCACTCGAGCGGCAGATGGAATTTCAACATTGTGTTCCATTTATCATACCTCCATCGAACGCGGGCCATCCGCCACGTTTTGTGTAGCGGAGAAGACCACCCTTGCCAGTTCCTTTCTTGAGAATATTCCCCGCCGACGATCTTTCGATGACCTCCTGAAAAACACCAGATGGAATCGGCGTTTTGCAACATACCGTCAGTCGAACCCGTTGCGCCCAAAACCTTCAACCTATAGCGCTCCGTTCGTACGTTCGTACAAATTCTTCGTCACGTTCCGCTACTAGAAAAGTTAATGCGCAGCGCAGCTTGCCGAACATATGGGTGGCGACACTTCGTTTCGAATTCTAACAAACAACAATCGAATCAGTGCCATGTCAAGCTCTCTACTGTGCTGAACGGGATGCCGTAGTGACGTATGCCGTGCGTAACATACGTGCGTGAGGATTGGTTGTCGACGACGAGGACGCGGTCAATTTGAGAGTCTCCAGGCTGGTTGACAACAACTACTTTCTTCATAGATACCCAAATCGATATCAGGGCTGAAATCAGACCATCGCTTGATGCGACAGATTGTAGGTGTCTTGCCACAAATTGAAAACAAGGATTTTTCTTACACGAAGCACACCCACACGTCAATTTCATTTGACGGGTGACCTGTGCAAGCAAGCGCTGTTTTCGCGTGTTTACGCGCGTCGCAGTTCATACAGGAAGTTCACATACTAGTTAATGTTAAATGTTTTCACTCACTCACCTGGGCGAAACTCCGTCATCATACAGAACGTAGGCGCGGCCGCTGCCATCGCGTGCACGCAATTTCCCCATGTACTCTCTCTGAGATGAGGGACAAGCCACCGGATGAGTAGCCGGATTTGAACACATCCGCGACAAGTCATGAAAACCCAAGGTTTTTAGAGTAAGAATGCTACAGTACCTCGAAAGGGTGGTTCAGAGCGTGGCAACCATCGGCAGACATACTTGTTTCGCCGTGTCTTGGCGAACATCGACATTTCATGAGAGTACATGCATGTTTTTGCGTCTCCCCCGCTGCTCTGCTCTCAACACGGCGTCACCGCGTGCGTGACGTAGAGACACTCTGAAACCACTCCCTAATAACTTTCCCCACACAGAACATATTCATATTACGCCATCACCCCTTGAGGGCCACAATCCGAACTTACTTGACTCATTCTCTTACCGTGTCTTTGGTCGTTTCCAAGTAGGGACTCGCGCTGATGTAGTAATTTGCTGTGCGGCTCAAAGGTTGTCGTGTCGCCGACATCATGAACACCATGCCACCCTGCGGACATCGGGGGGTTCGCATGGAGCAATACTGTGACCGACTTGATGATTTGGTTGGAATCCAGCGAACAAGAGGGCTGTCAAGGCCGTCACATCAACATCCTTCTGATTGGGGCTGGATTAAGTGCACCAACGATTGACGTCAAGGCGAAAGCTGGCGGTGGGCCTCAATTTCTGAACACCTGAGTCAAAACGTTGTTCTTTGGTTGTTCATCTCGGGCACTGCTAACAACAATGTTCACCTGTATGTGATGCATGCCGTAGACCGATGACGCCATGGGGTTCCACCCGCCACCTTCTTTCCGCGCGACGCGACACCGTATCGCCCCGTACTTCTTGGGCACCGGTCTGCAAGTCCACCGACGTCGGTAGCAGTCGCGGGGCAGCAAATCACCGTTTGAGAATCAAAATTTGAAAGGTATCGACGGCTGTACTGAAAAGCAGTGACGGACGGCAGGGCTCGGTCTCAAAACTCTGGTCCGCGGTAGTTTTCCCGATGCGCAAACAGCCTGTGTTGTGTCTCGTCACCACAATCGTCAAATCCCTATCCCGAAGAACAGTGTCTCTCAAGCCTCGACATTCGGCTAGCGTTTTTATTTTCAGCCTAGATCTCGTAGTTACCGTATCACGAGCCGTCACTCACTCGGTGAGAAACGCCCGCATAGCGTAGTCCGCGAGACCGGCGAGTCGCGGGACAACCCTTTTGGCTTCGTGGGCACTAGCACTACCGCTGGAGGCCTCTGCCCCAGCCCGCTCAACCTCCGATCGATCCGGTATCGGCGAGCACATGGGGAAGGCACCTCGATGGCGGTGCGCGGTTCCCGCTGCGGTCGTCTCTTCAAGCCGTTCTTCGCTGATATCGTCATCTACTGGCCAGGCTTGAACTACTGGCGGCGGTGTGCAGCTCATCCTGATGAAGGTTGAAAACGTCATGGTTTGTGTTGAGGTCGACTTTTGGACTTTTGCACCTCAGACGGCCCGGGCGTGCAGTCGTTTTCCTGGTCTAGCCTCAACGTCTTTCAACGGTATGCGCTTGGCGGCTCGCACGAGCTTTTCGCCGTTTTAGTGCATGCTGCTAGCATGAATCACATGGTCGTGTAGTGCGTAGTAAGGCCTGAGTCTGTTCTTGTGGTTGAACTGTCGTTTCCCTCTGTCTGCGGCAAGCCACACACACTGAAGGCTACGAATAGCGACAGCTTCTTGCTGTTTATTTTTCAATTCTTGGAACTATTCGGTATGAAGCAATTTTTCGGGGTGCATCAAGGGTTAGAGCCGATCCCTAACCCGAGCTAACAGAGAAGTAAACATTGAAAAAGTCTTGCAAATATCGCCTTCGCAAGCGCTCTCCGTACCTGTTGGCATCATCCAGCATATTTCTCTCCGCCGCAGCTGTCCCTGCCTCTAGCCTGGCTTCCTTCTCCAGCGCTTTGCAATGCAATCGCCACGCTCTGTCGTGTCCCGCGGTGGCGGCCTGTGCTGCCTCTTGCGCCCTCTTTGCCTCTCGAACGACGTTCGCATGTGAGGACTCGAAGACCGCCGGCCTGCCAGACGGAACCCCGTATGTGGCAAAATGTCTCCTTGTTGGGTGCTTGTATACTCAAACGACGCTTTTTTTTTTTTTTTTTTTTTGTTCTTCACTTTAAATCAGCGCTCACAGCACTAGTGCCGTTTATTCTAACCCGTGGTCACACAGAAGAGCCTATCTCTACCCTCCCCTCCTGCGGTACTTCGCCTTCAATTTTTAATGCGAGAAGAGTTCAGCACTCTCTTCCCTCTGTGTACACACGAACTAGCGCTATCCACTTGGCCAGGAGCGGAGGCGAGAGAAAAACTCACTTTGCAAGAAAAGCTCGCCTACGCCGGGATTCGAACCCCTGACCTGACCTCTAGAAGGTTACGAGGCTACCAACTAGACCACCGGGGCGACCGGCTTGCTTAGATGATACCGATACGAGCTTGAGGCCAAAGGCGCGCCTACGTCCGTTCGGGACGTGTTTGTAGTTGTGACATTTTTTCCCATGAATCGAAGAAGATATGCAAGGCCGCGTTGATACCGAGACACACTCGTGTACTTCATCGCCTCATCATCACGGTAAAAATTGTGCCAAAAGGCAAAGCACATTGCCAGACTTGTTAGGTTTCTGTTGCATTCGTGTTGTCTACGATTGACACCAACTGCTGCTACGGTGCAAAAGCTTTAAGTCTGTGATCAATACCTGCACGGGGTCTCTTGCAACACGGTGACGGATTGCAAGCGGTGTTCCTGCCACTGTTGTTGCTGTTCCCTCTCCTGGAGTGCCTGCTGTTCCACCTGGCTCGCTTTCTTGCCCGCTTCGTTCTCCCACACCTGCTTCTTCTCCTCCTCGAGTTGCTGTTGTCGTCGGTCCGCCACAGCTCTCTTCTCCGCTTCGACTGCAAGGTGCGCTTGCCATTCCTTTGTTAGCAAACGTGACACCAGACCATAAAACACTGAGAAACGATTATCCCGCTCTGATCACCGAGTGAGACCGCAGGATCGCGCACATGCCATTGTAACTCCGCTCCTATGATGTGTGGAACATCGGTGAACTCGGGCGTTCCCCGGGGTTGTCTCGCATCGTGCACAGCGTCACAGCACAGCCCCGTTCGCAACCACTCTGCTTGTCACTTGGCGGTTTGTTCGAACACAACGCCGTTGGTCTCTATCTATCTTCATGCCCCCGCCCGGCTGAAATCCGACATGGAAACCTCTAATGCGCGTGTTTCTCTTCCAATCACACTTGACGCCAACCGGTGGGAACGACGTGGGAACGTCGGAGGATTATGTACCACTCACGGCATTGGCGCGGACGCGACGGACGTGTTGTCGCCAGATCCGTTGTATCGCCTCGCACCCCCGCCGTTCGACTGCTTCCCTTCGTCGCTCAAGGGATTCCCAGACACCTTTCCTGTTGGAGGCAATCCGCAAGCACTGCTGTTAACCTCATCACACGCATGTAACGACAAGATAAAGCTTTCGTCGTACATATGGAGTTAGAGAAAAGCACCGCACGCTAACACCGCACTTTTTCAGTTTGGGAACGCGCGCAAACACACCTGAAGAATATGGTGCCGTGACCCAGCTTGCAGCAATTACCCTCGTTGTTTAAGACCCTGCGTTGAGCGTTGAGGGCGTGGCAAGAACATGGGGCGAAACAAGAAAGCATACTTCAAGGGGAGTATAACTCGACGAAGGTGCAGTTAAGTGCTTCACGTTCAAGAAAGCCGAAACTAGTCAGGAATAACGTACTTCAAACGTCAACCAACGAGGCATGCCATCGGCTCTCAGAGGTGGAGAATAGGTTTGTTGCGGTTGTGAGAAGCGTACACGGTACCTCTGTATCGCCCCCGGGACGACCCTGAAGTCGTTGAAGAACGCTTCTTTGTCCACCCTTCGGCCGGATGGCAACGAGAGGATACCTCTTTCTGCTGCTGCCGCTACTCCCGCCGAGGACAGCTGTCGAAGGAGGTTTCGGCCGTCGAGGAAGCTCGGAGAAAGCTGATCGTTTGGCTTGATGCAGACAATATGACGAACCTGTCGAAGCACCGGGAAAAGAAGTGATTCCTCTACAAATGTTTCCTAACAAAATACGGCTAAGAAGTGCAGAAAGAAGAAACACAGTGGAGAGCGCAGAGAAAAAGAAAACTCACACAAAATCATGGTCTATCTCGAGGAAACCACTGTAGACAGCTGGTTCGTTCTCGTTTGACGTTTGCCGTTGACTTGATGCTGAAGAACTCACGGGACTTTAGAACAGTTGGCGGTGCAACTTTGACACACGCACCACGGTGGTGATTCCGTCTACCTCTCGCCTCACTCCAAAGGGAGCAGGTGAGACGCACTGCCGCGCTGAAACAACCGTCTATGGACTCGTCGAGAAAAACCTAGCCCCTAATTCCCATACGGGCGACGGTGGGGACCCGAGCATACCTTGGTGTCCTCGATTTCGCGCAATAATTCCGTGAGCTGGCGTCGGTGCTGCGACAGGACGGACTCGTTGAGCCTACGCTGGTGCAAGTTTTGCCTCCGGTGGTCGGCGGCGCCGTCCACTGTGCTGGCCCGGCGCCCGTCCCTGTACATGAGGTGTGTACCATACGTGGCGGTGAGGGTAGGGGACGTAACATGTGCTGTATCTTGTTCGTGTGTTTATTATCTCTCTCCCGTGTTGTGTTCAGAGTTGGTTTCCCGCTGGGACGGTGAAGCCAGTCAAGGTGTTCAGAATAACTGGTTCTTTCTCACTGGCCTGGTGGTATCGGCACACAGCCCATTGCTCTATACCGCAGAAATTCAACGAGACACGGTTGCCCGGGACATGCCATACGTTACATCTTCTTGCACTCAAAAGGTGGGATGGCGTTGAACAATCCATAGCAGTATTGAAACACCAAACCTTCACTATTTCTACCGACCTGTAGCGGCTACTCCTCGACCCCTTGCCAACCAAGTCGTTGGTGCACACATCGTCAAGAAGATCAAGCAAACCCTGCCCAACCCCGCCCTTGTTTTTCTCCAAGAGGTCGGCCGCGGTGTATCGCACCGGTCCTGCAATCACGTGCGGAGAAAAGCGACACCACGACGTAATCGTTTGCTGAGGAACGTTAGGGATGAAGAAGAAACTCTCGCAGCAGAAACAGGCGGATGAGTTGGGTACGTTTGTAATTTGCATTACGTCAACACCAGGAGCGTCTTGGGACGCTGGTGGGCTGGAGTAGAGAGCTATACTGGTTGTTGATGTTGGGGAGGCTGAAAGTGATTTTGTTCCGAGAACAGAGCTAGGAGAACGAGGCAACTTCGATTCACCAATATCTTGGAGAGGTCAGTCCGCGTCAATTTGTCAATGATCTGAAAGCTATGGCCATCAATGGCTTTTCTTTGGAAGCATCACAGACAACAGCTTGCGTGTTCGTTGTTGCGGAACATGAACACACCTGGCGCCGCTCTCATGCTCAAATTCAGGGCGTTTGACGCAATTACCTACAGGGCTTTCCATGTGACAGCACGTCGCGCACATCCACTCAGCCCAACCGCAAAATATCTGAACATGAATGGGATAGCAATTGCTACAGTCACGTGAACATCTGTCATTACCAATGGAAGTCAAAGTGAGACACCCACTCTTTCACTTACTCCCCTACGCGGTAATAAACAGACCGCACCGAAGGCAGCGTCACTTAGTCACTTACGGGAGCTCGATGTGCACACATTAATACGCACCCTAGTCATTAGTCTTCCTCGGCCGTTTACGAAATACTCAGCTGCGAAACGACCGTGGATGAACAATAAACAAGAAGTCCTACGTACCATACACGAACGAGGACTTGAATAAAGAAAAACCGCAATCCAGCCTTTGGTTTCTTTACCTCCAAAGTGCTTGATGTGAAAACAGGAGTTTGCTAGCCTGTTCCCAGACTTGTTCGGGTCGATGCACGCCGGCCACGCGCTGTTTCTGCCCCCGGTGACCGCACCACCACGACAGCGGCAGTCTTCGTCTCCGTCTCCCACGTAGACCAAGCGAGAGCAACCCCAACAGGCGCCACCATCGCCCCGTGAATCTTGCCTTGTCTCTTCTTCCGTAGCTGCGAGAAGAAGGAGCTTGTTCACGAAAGACTGGCCGTTTCCTTCCGGGCAGAGGCACTCGTCGTCGGCGAGACGAATCAAGCCCAGTGGACCTGTCCAAAGGAGTGCCCAGGGAAACTAACTTGGGGTCAGTAGCATAGGCAGGCTGTAGGCCACGCAAAGTCGCGCGGGATGGACTGAAACAATCAGTAGAACTCAAAAAAGTACGTGATGTGAGTTGCGCACAAGAACGTTCCACCACGCAAGCACATATCGAACCGCATCGTGAGTTTCAGTGCAAGATCACACAGCACAGTCGGGAAGGGGTGAGGGCAATCCCGTCCGGTTGGTCGTAGGTGCAGTTTACCAGGATTTCCTTTCGATTCGGTAGCGTTAGCGTTACGGGATTTGTCCGAAAGTGGTCGCCTGTGGCTGTTGAAACTAAGGCTGCCTTCTCTGTCCGTTCTCGCCGAGACTGCACCTTTCCTGAAAGTCCTTTATATGTAAACCCCTCGCAAAAAATCTGCACATTTGGTCATTGGGCATTAGTTTTGTGTACAACAAAAGAAGTTCAATATTTCTCATCACAGCCCATGCTACACCTCTCCCTCTCTCGCTCACCCTCAAACATAGCCAACAGCCGTCGATTGCTCTCCACCTCAGCTACCGCCGACGCTTGGGCCGTTCTCCCGGTGGCACCGCCCTTGGCGTTCCCGTAGCACACCTCGTCCTGAAGGAACCTTCCGTGAATTTTCTCGACAGCATAGTTCTTGCAGAGTTGCTCGAATCCGCTGGGGTCGAGGTTTTCCAACCTAAACATGTGCACGCCAAGTGAAGCGGGCGGGCGCACCGAAGGGGTGTCAGAGTTTGCCAATTACTTCTTTGACCGACCTAAACGGGAGCGGCTGGAGTATGGTCTGGTCCACCCCTGTGTACCATGCGGCAGCGCAACGATGAGAGTTGTAGACGCCCCCCTCCCACGCCACCGTACTATGTTGCACCGACTCAGGGGTGGAGGGGAAACAACAGCAGCATCTTGCTGCCTTGTTGCCGTTCCATGCGATTTGGAATAAAGTAGACGTGTTCCTGTGCCGTGAGAATCGATTTTGCAGTCACACAGCACGAAGCGAAAGTGAGCCTCGTAATCCTGGCATCCCCGCCCACCCTCACCCTCCCTCTCTCTCACGAACGTACCCGAACATGTCCAAGAGCCCTATGGAGCTGACGCCTGCCTGTTTTTCATCGGATGGGAGGCCCGTGCAAGCGTTCATTGTTTTTACCAGCCATTTGAACAGCCTCAAGTATACCTGGGCATAGAACGCGAAAGCAGGCGGCAACGAAGCCGAGCAGTTTCAAGACGCGCTTGCCGAGCAGTAGTGACGATGTCGGCGCCAGCGCCGCCACACCAAGGGGAAAAAATGCATCCCGTGCACATGTCCATTTGACACTGTCCCTCGCTGCCGTGGGATACGACCTCGCCGCAAGACCTCAGCGCAGCGCCTCTTCTAGGCGAAGGTTTTATCTCTGCTCTAAATATGTCAACGGCACCTGGTTTTTCTTCCTGACTGAGTGCACGCGCACATGGACATACCTCTTGGACAAGGTTGTCCCTCGCCCTCAAGGCCTGGGCTTTGTCCAATGGCACGGTCAGCGTGTCCACGACCCCCCTCGTCCTCCTCGACCCTCCCCTCGACACAAACGCTGCGCCTCCCTCCCCCCCGGCGGCGAGACTCCGCGTGAGCAGTGCATTGCGCAGATGGTGCTTTTTGCAGCCAAGCATGTCGCTCGCTGCCTCCAGAGGCGCCTCATCACGTATCTAAACATATCGCAAGAAACCCCACGACAACAACACCGTGGAAAGATATTATATGGTCTTCCCCATCATGGTTTCTCTTTGAAAGTATGTGCTCTATTGTTTTGGCCAATTACACTGGAAAATGTGCCCGAAACTGTCATTTGTGCTCAATTTTTGGACAATAATGCTCAATTCGGTTCAAGCATGCTCGAAGCATGCCTTAGGTTTTAGTACTTTTATGCTTTGTGGCGCCCGAGTATAGTGGGGAAGGCCTTAAAATGGCCGTGACCAATGTCAATCCTTATCGCGGAACCTGATTTGTCAACCGGAAGACATTTGGTGTCGATGAGCCCGCCACCCTAATCATTTTTACCCCACCCCGGCCACTATAAACCGTCTGCTCAAGAGGGCGCGCTTCAACAGCAGCAACTAAAATGAGGAGTAGTCATCCACCTACAAAAAAAACGTGTAGGGAAGCCGCAACTTCCAGCAGACCGGGGGCTACTGAAAGTAAGTATGAGACAAAACGGCTCTCTCTTTTTTACCCCTTATGGGCTCACCTCTATCACTCCGAAGTCGCGATCAATTAATTCTTTAACGTCCGCAAACTCGATCTCCAAGATGCGCGCGGTGTATTGTAGAGGAACAATAATGAACAGCAACGTACGAGGAGGAACGGGATAGCGCTTTGGCGTCAGATGCCGCGGCATGAGAAGCTGCCCGGTGCGGAATACTCTTGGCACAAAGACAAGGGCAACAGAGAGATCTGCGCCCCCAAAATGGTTGACGCGACTCTCGAAGTGCTGTATATTCACAAGAGCACTGCCGTGCTTCTGAAGGTGCGCACAAGCGCTGGAAGACAAGACAAATTGTATGCGAACTGGAGTATTTGCCGCGTCGGGTCACTACACCCTTGGACTGAACGTAGTTGGTCTGTCCTGCCAAAAACATATTCCACAACGCATACAAGTACCCTTTTAAAACCCGCCCGTCTTCAAGTCTACCTTTAGCGCCACCAACCTACCTGGCCAAGGTGTAGCACGGCCGATAGGACCCGCATTGTGCTTTCCCGATCTTTTGCTGATACCCCAATTGTTGCCATCGAATCCAGAGTCTTGTGCAGCCCCCCGGCCCCGCTTGGGCCGCTGGACCCGCATGTTGGCACAGAAACGCTTGGGGCCCCTGCGCACCCCTCTGTGTTGCGAATACTTCGAATTGACCCGCTCGACCATGCCGAACCGGCACCAGCAGCATCGTTAGCGTTTTTTTCTCCACCTTGACTTGACGAGGGCTCGAAGGCGGTTACAGCGAAGTCTGCCGCTGTTTTGTCACCAAGACGGAGGCGCATTTTGACGGTTTCGTCTGCACCTAGCATCTGTGGATGAACGCAACATAGCATGGAGTTCGGACAAGCATGAGGAGTAAACTGCTTCGCTTGGGTGTATGTGGGTGAGTGCCGGAATATTGTCGATTCAAACGTACCCTTGGCATTTGTCATTGCGCTTATCACGTGGTTTACAATATGTCAACACGTACTGCACAGCTCTGCGCCTCCAGCGGACACAAAAGACAATACACCACGAGATAGAGGTACAACAACACAACAAGGAGGGCTATTCGCACTTCGGGCCTCGTTCAGGCGATGCGACTTCAGCGTAAGGCCCTGTGCTAGACGAGGTAAGGATGTTACACCGTCAAACCTGGTAGAAGGCGTTGAAAGTCCTTTCTCCGCGGCCCCGGCGGGTGTTGCAAAGCCTTGGCGTCTCCAGAAGGAGTGTGCTATCCTGTATTCCGGCCGCTTGAAACGCATGCTTGGAGTAGAAGACTTTCGTGTGCGCCATGAAGCGACTGCTGCTCTCGTTCAAAGGCTGCGAACGAGACAGGTTGCCGAGCAGACCAAACATATGATGGATCACCGTATCGCAAGCACAGCAACCACAACAGGTCGTGTACTCTACCGAAAGAACGCGGGATGTGCGTCACGAGGGGGCAATACATGCCTGTCAAATCCCACCGTATCTGCAACGCCGCCACCAGCTACGATTCCGTTTCTCCACAGGGCAATCAGAAAGACTCTTTCAAGAGGAAACGCAGACAAAAACCATGCTCCTTCGTCCCCACTCACCGTTCCAGCATTGCCGAATGTCTCTAAAATGACCCTTCGACTTGCCACCAGCTTTCTCAAACGCCCCGTCTTGTTTCCACCGTCATCCTCGACGGTAGTCATACCGCCAGAAACCCCCCCCCGCTCATTCTGAGCCGTCGTCCCGTAGACTCGTCTCGACATTTCTGCGGCTTCCACCAGGTGCTCCAAGAGAACGGAGGTAGTGAAAGATTTTCCAGAGCCGGATTCCCCGGCCAATAGGATGGTCTGGCGGCCAAGGCCCTCGGATAGCCGCCAATACGCGGAGGCACTCGTCGCGTACACGTGCACCGGTAGGTCGGTTCTGTTGTACTTCATGTACCTGAACTGTAAGTGTATGCCATATTGAACGCGTGAAACCACAGAAAACAGTCCCATGCACGGACTAAGTGGTACGGGATGAACGAGGACGAAAAGATTAACACAGCAGTCAGCATTGTAGTCTACGGCAAGTGTAGTCTATATACACGTACAACCAGTACCTGCATGTCCCTGTCGTAAAGTTCGTCGAGATTCCTGCAGGGATTGACCGCAATCGTCACGTTCCCAGCCCCAATGTACGGCTTGCCGGCTAGAAACCGCGCGCGGCAATTCTGGAGAACCAGTTCTTCGTCCCAGACTCCACTCTGTAGCTCGATGAGGTCCTCTACCTCCTCTGGACATTGCGAGTAGTGAGGCTCCCGACATGGCACCATGTCGATCTAAATCTCTTCCGCTGTTCGGGACTGCTGTTGTGAAAGAAAAAGTCTGACCAAGCCCTTTGCTGTCGTCGTACATAGGCCAGGCACAGTTCTTGAGTCCTCTCTGCCCAGCACCGGCTTCCACCCCGAGCTACTTTACATGGCGCCTGTAGGCAGCGCGACAACACCACCTTGACATTGAACATGAACAATTGAACCTCTTAACCTCTTTCGCGAAAATGCGGCGGAATCGAAAACGCGGAGGGATAGCGAAGCGACGAGGCGGCACGCACGCGGAGTCACGGGTCACGCAGTGCGGGCTTGCGGGCTTGCGGAGGTATTTTGGCCAATTTTCTTTGTAATCTTTCTCTAGAGCGCAACACGTACGTACACAAGCATCGATGTATGGCTCAGCGGGGTTGCTGTCGAGGGCAAAGGTGTTCGGTGGTTCGGTGGAACTCCGGTGGCAGGTTCCGCGCGAAACGGCTCTCAGTTTGGAACCGTTTGAAAATGACATCGGCGATACGTATAGATAGCTCCTCTATAGATATGCATAGCAGTGAGAGCCATGCGTCTAGTAGGAAGCAACAGCATAATACTGTAACTCATGTTTACAAGCAGATTCCACTCTGCTTTGTGTCGCCCATCGTATTGTACAATAGCCCAGCCTTGCAGCGCCTCTGCTACCCTTAGGACCACGGGGCATCCTCAGCAACGCACTAAAAACCAGAGGCAACCACGACTCGTCCGTCATTGCCAACATGGAACGTGATCGTCCCACCCCCACACAGAATCGTGGGTGTACTACTGCTGTACCCACTGACCTACACCTGAGCATCCTGCCGAGCACAGCCTACAGCCTGCCTTCTGTTGAAGCTCTAGCGTGCACTTCAAGTACACGTATCGCCTACTTGTACAGCAGCAGACGCGCCCCTTCAACACCTCATGGCATCACAAGCCCGTGGTTTGAAAGCTACGATATCGGCTCTTCTTCCTTTCTTTCTGGTCAATCAGGAAAATGGTTTTTAAGGCTGTTGTTCAAAAACCAAGTCATCACCCCAGCATCGACCATTGGCCCGGATTCCCATCCTTCCCCCTCTCCCCCTTAACTCTAGTAGCATAGTTTCAAGGCACACACCCCGGCTGATGGCCCGAATATCTTGGCACCAAGAACAAAACTACACGCGGCCTCTTCATCGCCCTACACTCTTCGTCCCCCCCCCCCCTCCCCCGGTAGCACTCCCCCGGACACAAGAAATTGTGCGCCGCAAAGAGTACAGCAGTCAACCTCGACCCAAAACAGGCAAAACCACCGGCAAAAAAGTGGTTTTCCATGGAAAGCATTCCAATTTCAACGGAGAAATCCATCCCATCCTGCCCATGTCTCAAACCGTCTCCGACCTCTTGCCTTTCCCTGTCTTCCGCTCAATTCTTCAGCCACGTATGGATGCAGCAGAATAGGACCCATAGGACAACTCGGGGCGTAATCACTATCTACTACCCGCTTTACCCGCAAAACGGCTCGACATCGACACTACAAAGATGTCGAATGGAAACCTGCACTACAACCAGGGAACAGATTGCCCTTCGAGTTGATATACGAAGGTGGGGTTTGCACTTAACGCGGTTATCTCGTTGGTTGGTTGGTTGCTTGCGCTAGTCAACAAGGAAACCATGCTCGTCAATACACAGAATTATACGCATTGGAGAGCATGTAGTGTCTTCTACACAGGTTCGCCCCCTATCCCCCCCGCCACCCCTTTCCCAATACCCTCCGCAAGCCTCAATGATATATGTCTAAGCAGGAGAGGCACTGACTTTGACTTCTTTCGCACAGTGGAAGCATCTTGCACCACCTGATGTTCACTGGTATTCCCATTGAGAGTCACCCCGTCTAGTGTTTCCTTCCAGAACACCTCTACAGTTATAAATCCCCTGACGACCCTCGCCTCTTCTCTCGAAGGTCAAGCCCAGGCAACCCCGTATTCGCACGTCTACGACAAGAGCCGTATGGGTTCTCTTATAGAACCTATCACGTGTTGGCCCTACAACAGTCAAAGAATCTTTGGTTCGAATCAGAGAACGTCCTCAGAAGAGCTCCTTTGCCTTCTTGGCCGACACCTGCTTCCACTTGGGCTGCTTCGCGAAATCAGCCTTGGACATGCCGAATACCTCCACGAATTCCTTGTCGTCAAGGTACTGCTCTCTACATGACGGGTCCACCCCGTCCACCTCCGTGCCGTATCTGTGTGTCAATTCGGCCGGGAAGGGGAAGGGGACACACAGAAAAATGAACATGTTAGCTGTGGACTAGTACCACGCGCAGGTAGTAGGCTTCACGAGACACCAACAGCTGGCAGCGTCCACTTCCGTTGCACAGCAGTTGTGGGTCAGCCAGACATGGAATCGTGCTTGCCGGGAGAGGGGGGGGACTCAACAATAACATTTCAAGGCCATGAACGTGTAATAGTGCAAAACTATACTATACCAACAACGAACGGTTGGGGCCAGAAGAGTTCAGGGGACATAATGCACATGAACAGACCACCTGCGAGATTCTATCGTTCCCACGCACGGCAACACCGGGACACGAATTCGAGCCCGCCACCCTACGCCCCTACAGTACACAACCCCTTTCTTTGTGGTCCGCCTCATTCTCTCCCAACACTAGCAGCGTCGTGCACCATCCCGCCCCATTCATTCCTCACCCCTTGCGTAGGGACGCGCCATTCTCTAACGCTACAATCAACGCGCGTCATACTGACAGCATGCCGCCCCTTTCTCTTCTCCTCACCCCTTGAGTTCAGCGTAGGGGACAGTCATGTTCGCGGAGGGCGGGGTGATATCCCGGGACGCGGTGCCGCCGCCGCCGCCGCCGCTTGCCGCCGCCCCGTTGGCGGGTGGTGCCGGCAGGTCGTCCATGGTGATCGTGCCGGGAGCCTCGGCATACTTGGCCTCCATCTGCGCCTGCACAAGAAGAGGAAAAAATGAAGCACAAGAACGCGAAGTAAACAAGAAGAGAGTGACAGAGACCGACCGACAGGCACAGACAGGCAGACAGACACAGAGAGAGAAAAAACGGCCAAATAGATAGTTCGCACGAATAAGTTGATAGGGCTTGCTATTTAGCGCTCGCACATGCGTGCGCACACAAGACGCGACACACGAGAGGGCTGTCTGCGCACAAGAAAAGATGAGCATTCAGGACAGACGGCACACAATACAAAAGGACTGTGAGCGGGGCAGGACACGGGGAAGGGCTAGGGCGACGCTTTTTGGAAGGACGGCGATCAATCTGCGAAAAATACCACAAACACCTCAAACGCCAAAACCAACGACTTCGCCTAAGAAGACGAGGAGGTTACCCCGACGGCATCCAGAGCGCATTATTCCCCCTGGGTCACAAGCAGACGGCCTAATATACACACACAAGATACACAGGAACGATCCCCTAAACGCCTACCCGCACAACAAAAAGAATCACACAGTGCACGAAGGAGGAGGGGGGGCTTAAAGCATCTTTGCCATGCCTTAGCGGATGGATCATTGACCACGCGTCCTCTGGAGAGGACGGAGGATTGTTCCCACAGGACCGATCACCGATGGCCAATCCCACCGGGGCGGGGGGGTGCGACAACACAGGAGCAAGCCCCTACCACTCTACAAGGCACACACACCACCCCGCGGAGGGGCCATCATCTCGTGCTCCTTGTCTTGACATTGAAAACCGTTCCGACCTCTACCCAGCACCTCCAGGCATCCGCACTGGCCCAACCGACGCAGACGACTTCGGTGGTCACAACAAGCCAACTACCCAAAGAGGGGTACACCTTTTCAAGAACGAAAAAAATCCATTGAACCAGAAAAAAACTTCCAAATTAATTTACGTAAATACTAGAAAAAAAAACGCACCTCCTCCTCCTTGGCAGCCGCCAGCTTGGCCTGGTAAGGGTCCACGAAGGTGTTCTTATCCGTGAGTAGCGGGTCCCACCCGCGGAAGTGCTGCGTGAAGAGCGGGGGCTCGTTGCCTGCGGCCACCTGGAGCACGGGCGTGTCCGGGCTACGGCCGTCCGATGCGGTGTTGATGTACTGCTGGGCTACGTTCATGGACTGCTCGGCCGGAAACGGGGGGGTGGGGGTGTTGGAGGGAGCGGGGGGGTCACGAAATAAGTCGTGGGCGGGGGAGGCGCCGGTGTGCCCGGCTACGGCCGTGTTGATGTACTGCTGGGCTACGCTCATGGACTGGGACTCGTCGTCATGTATTACGCCGGACACGGGGGTAGGACGCGGGGGGTTCGCGAAATGAGCGGCGAGGGGGGTTAAAGTACGCAACGCGGCGGAGTGCTCGTCGGATGAAGGGCTCATGCAAATCATGCCAATCCTGGCTATTTATTCGCCAATGCGGACAGGGACTGATACCAGTTTGTGGGGAACTGGCGAAGTGCCGTGTTGCTGGAATACCGCTGTTCTAGCATTTTGCACTAGGCAAAGGACGAGCACACCTGAGACCACGGGGACGTAGGAGGGGGCGCAAGCCCAGTTCATCACAACATCTCCGACAACGGACGAGCGCCTTCTTTGCGCCAGAAAACTAGCCTTGGCGACCGAGTGGATTTAAACAAAATGCCACATACCGCAGATGCCAAGCAACAATCATAAAACACCATTCCAAACCGTGACGTAGGATACGGTGGACACCACATCTCTGATCGCTCTGTTTCATTGGTCTGCGGCCCGACCCACACGAACACAGATCATATCGTACCGTACCGTAAAACACATTTCTACACCGCAACGTAAGGACACGGACACGGTAGGTACCACACCTCTGATCGCTCTGTCTCGTTGGCCTGTGGCCCGACCCACACGAACACGGAGGACACGGTGTCGAGGAGCATGACGTCATCGACGCACAGGTCGCTCTGGTCGAAGTTGCACACGGGCGTTACCGCCAGCTTGCCGGTGGCGTTCGAGACCTGTTGAAAAGCCGTGGTGACGAGATGAAACGGCACGAATCACAGCATGAAACGGCACGTGTCATAGCATGAAACGGTATTAAAACCGTAACCGTACCATAGCATGAACCGGCACGTTTGATAGCATGATAGCGGTACACGTATCATAGCCACCGCGACGAACGCGTCCGAACCGTTTATCACAGCCGGGAAGGAAATTGATGACAAAAGACGTGTACTTCGAGTGGTTCCAGGACGGTCGTTCGTTTGTTGCAACAACGGAGGTAGGCAGGGACAAGAAGAGGGGAAATACCTAAAAACGGATACGGTCTTCCCCGAAAGAGACCAACGGCCTATCCTATCGGAACAGGGTTGGGCATTGTACGTGGGGTCCATCGCAATGGCAACGGCCGTGCGAGTAGACAGCGGGTGAGGGGGGGGGGGGGGGGGGGTAGGCTAGCATAATGAAAACATTCGCTGCCCGAGTCAATGATCAAGGCCAGGCCATCTTACGACCACTAACGTCTTTTCATTGGTCAGCCGGTTAGCGGGGTCGATGCTAATAATCCAAAAAGACACGTAACACACCTGGAACAGACGGGGTTCCTGCGAGACCTCCTCAGCCTCTGACAATTTGGGGTACTCGCCCATGCCTCCAAGGGCGTCCCAGAACGCTTCGGGCTCCGATCCCTCTTCCACGGTAGACACCGTCCGGCCAGAGACATCCCCGTGGTCGAGCACCATCTACAAGCAGTAGTTTGGCATCGAACGAACGTTCGGCCACGAACCAAGGATACGGTGGTAGATGTTAGAAGTTATATCAACGGCAGCATCCATCACCGGCGATTGTACCACCGTCCATGTGTCCCGGTTTAGCATCCGGTGGTGTTTATTTCTCCACGTGGAACCGTCTCCCTCCCGCACAATTCGCAACATTTCCGCATCTATTTATTGGTCTACCACGTTTGTTGTCAACTTTCCTCCGCTAGAATTCCCTAGTCGTTGCCCCCCCCCCAAGCGCAAGCTGTTGTTGTCTACCACACATTTGAATCGTTCCGGTCTCTACTCAAAAATACCTGTACTGGTCCAACTGAACTCGGGCGCCTAAAACCACTTGCTAAATGACGAATCCGCTCTTGTTGCGGAACTTCTTTAAAACAAAACTACCTTCGAGATTTCTTCCGCGGCGTGTGATTCCTCGGCGGAGCACCCGTTGCCCACCCAAAGGTAGACGTCCGTGGGTGTGAGGAGGACGAAGGTGTCCCCGGAGTTAAGGCTGCTCGCCGTCTCGGGCACCTGCATGCGCCGATGTCGGTTGTGGCAGGTTTCGATAGCATCAAGTGCTTGACGTCACTATTATAGAACGAGTGGCACCGAAAAGGGACGTTACGTTTTGCTTGTTTGGGTCATTGGTCAAACACATGACGTCACTAAAACATGTAGCCGTACTAACGACCGACTTTTGTTTGTTAGGTTGCTGTTAAAAAAGCCATCGTCAAAACTCAGAAACTGCACGACGTCAACCTTGCACCTCCATCAGTAGGTCAGCACGCCACTCTGACAGTTGACAACACACAACGCACACACGCAAAAAGGTCCCTCTGTAGCTGTATACGTTCCGTTTCCGTTTAATCCGGAGAATAGTTCGCCCTTCCCCCCTCACGGGGTCCCCCACATCACAACCTTTCTGCTTTCTAATACCGACTCAATTCAAGATATTGGTCAGCCGGTTAACGCGGTCGGCGCTAACAATAAAAAAAAAAAAAACACACACACACCACACAAGACGCGCGCGCCAACACCCACACCCACCTGTACACCGTAGGTGTTGTCCGGCTGCGTACCCTTGACGTGGAAGAGACAGACGCCGTCCTCGTCGTACGAGTCTTCCGCGCTCTGGTTCTTGAACCCCGACGCCTTCCCGCCCGAGTGGATGACGAGGTGACCCTTGAACAAGTTCCGCCTGAGTAGTAGGGACGGAAGGCGGGAATGGAACGTGGGAGGGGGGTCAGGTTGGTGAATACTGGTGGATACCTGGACGCGACGAACTCACCAGCCCACAATAGGAGGCGTCATAATGAAGTTTTATGTACGGTAGTCTAGACACGCAGCTCAGATCTCAGCTCGGAAGGAGGAGAATCTCGTTGCAATGATAAAACAAACGGTCACGATCTTCATTGAGGCACCATTTCAGGCGACACCACACCGCCAAAACGATGACACACATCTTCCATGAGAATGCGCCCAGAGACTCACATGTGCTTGGGTTCCTTGCCCATCACGACCCGGACCTAACCAAGCACAGACGGCGACGGCGACGGCGACGGCGACAACGAGCGTGGTGAGGACTTCGAGATGAGGGGACAGCCAGACAGCCAGCCTTCTCACTCACGGCGGTAGGAACAGCAGTCGACACTCCCAAAATCACATCCAGCAAACAATGTGACGCAAAAGACCTTTTGACCGTACGAGATAAAAAAATACTTCCAACAAACAGCAGACACGACAAAACCGCCTAGCAGCTCTCGCAAGCAGGGTTTTTCCTTTAAGTAAACATGTTGGATAAAGCATGTAATCGGGTAGGGTTAGGGAAAAGGTTGGGGTAGGGTTGGGGTTGGGGGTACGGTCTGCGTACTCCCACTCTGTTACATTTCCTCATGCACTTCATTTCTTGCAAAGGCGGTCCGAACCGTCGTCCCGTCCCGTCCCGTCCCGTCCCGTACCATATAGCAAACAAAACAATATTCTTCCACGCCATACCTGGACAGCGGCGTCGTTAAGCTTGTCGTCCATATCCTTTGCGAGGAGAGCGCTCGCGCCGATCTCGTCCTGGGTGGACTCCCGGCCCTGAAAACACCGAAAGACGAACCAACAAGACGTAAAACTTAGCATTCGGGCGGGTCGCTAGCGTGTGACCAGGGAAGGCGCCCGCGTTACATGGACCGGGACACAAGCATGTTTGAAGGTACTGAGCAGGGATCAGCACGTGAACTAAGGTGAGCATAACCACATGGCCACCGCCACCGCCACCAACAACCAAGAAAATCGGCAAGCACCCAACAGCGGTGGCACACAGCAGCTAGTTGCAGCGGTCGCGTCGCACACGGTGGCGACCACAGAGGGGGGACTCGACACATCCCCCCGCTACACAGCAACCTCCACATCCGACACGACACGACGACCATCTGCCAGCCCCAGGTCATTCCGCATGTACACCAAAACCTTGATGGCCAAAAAATAACATCGCCAGGGGTTTTTAGGCTGCTCGGTAGCGGTAGCGGCCAACAAGCAACCATCGGTATTACAACGGCACTCGACGGTACTCCAACAGTACTCCAACGAACCTGCCAGAAGTAGATGAGGTAGCTTTCCTTGCCCCCCACGAGGTACGTGTAGAGCATCACGTAGCAGTCGCCTCCGTAGAACTGCCCGTACTTCTCCTGACAAGCCGAGAAATCAAATAATTAATTCCGTGCGGACGGGTGTCGGAAGTTAACGCGGGATGGGAAGGGGGGGGGGGGTATGCTGCTGTTCCTGCCGCCATAACGGTCAGACCATTGGACGTGGGGGGTATACTAAAAAACGGTACAGCGAGTCGGTATGCGTAGCCGTTCGCACGGGTGGCGGATACTTCCGTGGGGTGGGGGCTAGGGGGACATAGTACTGTAGCGCACAGCACCACACCACGGAACCAAGGGACAACAAAACACAGGGGGGACTTGGTTAAAAAGGCCATCCTCCACTGCTGATACCGGCATGACACCATCCACAAATACATACCTTGGGCCAAGGTACCAGCTTGAAGTCCTCCACCCTCCACACCTCCAGCTTACCGCTGCCGTCGTCCACGGGCTTCTCGTCCATTGCCTTTTGTTTTTCGTCAGGGGGGGGGGTCAAGTCAAGTCAATCCAAACGGTAAGAAGAATAACAGGTCGGGGGGTGTACTCATAGTCGTGAATGCCGAAGTCGTTTGACCATTGACCTCGCATAAGAACATAAACAGGTCGGGGGCAGACCGAAATGTAGCGGGGTGTGGGATGTCGCAACTCTCAGGGATTTGCGTATTACGAGAAAATAGTGGGCGGCGGTATGAAGCGATCAAATGTCGCTCGTCAAAACATCCGAGACAAGACGACAACACCGAGCAACGATCCCTTAAAACCGCATCCATCAGCACACGATTGCTGCCGCACCACATGCGCACCAAACACCTGCTTCTTCTAACAAACAAAAAACGCTCCTCCTCCTCCTCCTCCTCCTCCTCCTCCTCCCAAAACACCTCTGGTGAAAAACATGAACAAATCAACGAGCAACATTTTTCGAGTGTTGATAGCGTTCATGTACAAAGGTACCTTTGTTGAAAAACATGCAACGAATCAACGAGCAACACCTTTCGAAGTGCTGATAAGCGTCTACCGAGGTAGAGTCATCCTTTTCTCTTCTGACCACGATGTGTAAAAACCAACGACCAAGGGGTCCACGACTAACGAGCGACCCATCCGCTCAAAACGACGGTCAAACGCAAAAGCAACGGCATGCATACGTCCGCCATCGTGGGGGCGGTCTAGGTCTTACCGAAGACGAGTCCAGCATTCCCTTTGCGATCGCGGCGGAGTCGGCCTCCGACATCGCCGCCGCTGGAGTTGACAGTCCCGGGCTCTTAGACGACGTGGGGGTGTCTTCCCACGACGGGACCGGCTGAGGGTTCCACTTTTGGAAGTACCTTTCGAGAGAGAGGGAGAGAAAGAGAGAGGGGGGGGAGAGAGAGACAGAGGGAAAGTTGGGGAGAGGGAGAGAGAGAGAGAGAGAGAGAGAGAGAGGTTGACAAGCCGAACAGAAGCTTGTGAGTAGTTAGGGCCATAGGGTTGGTGAAGCGACACGGACGAGCGTGATGGCATATTCACTGCAACCCATCGATACAAATCATCGTGTTGGTTGAAACAGACGTAACCCGGCCTCCTCGCCCCCGCCGTCCGCGCAGAGCAAAACCGCCCGAACCGGAACAAGGCCGCGAAAGCCACCGCTCGGTGCGGTCGCGTCGCGTCGGACGTAGTCGTGGTCGAGCGCGTAACGCTTTCGCCGGGTAACGAATTAAGGCAAGTAGGCGTTTGCTCGCACTTTGGTCCATCGCCGGGCGGATTGGTCACGCCGGCCGCGTCGGCGGCATCGGCGGCATCGCTGCTGCTGGCGTTGACCGCCATGTTCTAGAACGTTCTTCAACGGGGTCGAGGCCGTCGTTTTTTTCGCGCGACCGTGACGAAAAAAAAACGAAAAAAAATACGCAACCGAGTCGTCGTGCGTCCGTCCCCGGGTTTGTTAACCGCTAACCGCGCTCGATGTTCGTCTGACCCCCCGTCCGTCCGTCCGTCCGTCCGTTTCCGCAAAAGCCACGAGAACCTTTCGCCGGCATGTATGCATACCGCATCCTATGCATACATATGACGATGAGGTCCGCAGCAGCAGCGCACGAAATCAACCCCTCCTTCCCGGCGGCGGGTCTCAACGAAGAAGACTTTCCGAAAACCACGCTCCGAACACACACACACACACACGGGCCGGACCGAACCGGGGCACGGAACCCCTTACGCACGCTAAATAGTGAATTGGGCGCACCACCGCGGGAACACGAAAAGGTCGCAAAAAAAAAAATCGGCACAAGCAGCTCCCCCACTGCCGACACCTCGGAGTTGTACGTTCAACAACAAGACGCGACGCACGAAATAGACACACACACCTGTGTCGACGGTTTTAAAAACCCACAGGTGATAGACAGACGCAACCAGCGCGTCCTCACTATAGCAAACTAGCTCCGAGCCGTGCCCGCCCTCCCCGACCCACCCAACCTCTAGGACCCCCCCCCCACCGGTGATGTGGGTAGAAGCAACAAGCCTCTACGGCAGCCCTTACCGCTTGAAAGCGGAGGTTTCGTATCCCTGCGCCAGGCGAGTGATCGGGGTTGATCTTCTTGGCGGAGCACCACCACCGTTTCTTCGGGTTTGGGGATTGTCGGTCGTTCATGATGGACATGGTGCATACCGTCGATACCGTAGACATCGAAGATACCGTCGATAAACATAGAAACCGTGGGTATCGACCGAGATGGCGGGACGGTGGTACGCGTAAAACAGGAACAGTAGTAGCGTGAGTCAGCAGAAACCACAGGCCAAAAACAAAAAAAAGGATCAACATCAAATCCTATTCTACCAACTGCTGCCGCTGCCACGCGGACGTCCGAGCCGTGAATATTCTCAGCCGTCTGGGGGCACCGCCGCCGTACGGTATCTAACAATAAACGAACGGCCAAGCCAACACGGTAAGGGTCAGGTTCAAGGAGTATACACACCACGCCTCCTGTGGAAATTCCTTCCGTGTATGTATGCGGACCGTGTATGGGGACAAAGCCCCGGGGGGGCCTCTGGAGTACCCCCCCCCCCCCCCCTTCCTTCCTCTGGTGCGGAAGTGGAAGTACAGGACCGGACTGATGTTTCCCAGAACCCGAGAGACGACTGAAAACCCATCTACCACGAGCAGACGGACCTTAACCGCCACTGCGTCCGTGTAGAGAACGCTTTCAGCATCGCCGGGTTGACCACACCAGAGCTTGTAGGGGGCGAACTACATGTGAGAGAAGATGTATAAAAATCTCCGTGCCGTGTTTCTGAATGTTTCGGTGGGTATTTCCTCCCTCTCCCATTCGTGCAGAGAGCCGCCTCACGGAAAGAGCGGGTAGGTACATGGGCGCCCAAACGTGACCTTAACAACAATCGAGCTTACATTATTCCTCCGTGCTTCGAAGCGCTGACACCCCCGAGGCGAAGCTGAAAACAACGAGTTCTTCCGACAGGCGGCACTATTAATGTGCGCTATTCCTGCTCGGGTGGAACCCTCTCATTCCTCATGCGGCACGTTCGATGACTTTTGGCTTCTCTCTGTGTCGCAGGAGGGTGCCATGAAAGAAGTCAGAACAAACCCGCCTCTTTTTTATCCGTGAACGAGTCGTATAGCCTAGCCGAGAAATCGCTCACGTGGGCACACGAGCGCCTTTGGCTATCCTAGAAAAACCGTACCAGCGATAGCTTTTTGCGCCGGGGGAAACAGTGTCGATAAGATAGTCCCATGGTCGTAAGTATCGGGCTGCTGTGTACCGCACGGCTGGCAGGAACTAACGCTGCCGGTGACTGGATTTTTTCTTGGGCATGGTTGTAGCGCGCTACATGTTCTTAACGTTTGGAGTCGTGCGGTGATTGAAAACAGACATGGCCACAAGTGACGAAAACTACGGCGAGGCTTGGTTTGGTACCCAGACCTAGACAAAAGGCAAAGCTGCCGGTAAATTAACAGACCAAAGAGAGGTAAGAGAGGGTGATGCACGTTCATAAATTGCCTGGTTCTCAGAGACACACCCAAACACCCAACCAAGTACGGCCGACGATCAATACATCAACAACAAACAACATGAACAAAGCATCACATGCGTTCTTACAAAGCTCTCGACGAGACGGTTCCAACGCCGTCATTTTTTCGGCACCGCCACCACATTCTTGGAGAAAAATTTTAGCTCGGTCCCAGGGGGTGTGATATCATACATCATGTCACCAACGGTAGGTAACGCCACGAGGAGCAATCATCTCATCTCATCTCACCCCTTGAACGTAGTCGTCTCGTAGCCCTGCGCCAGGCGGGACACCGGCATCGCAACGTCCCGGCCGTTCTATTCGATAAACTTAGCCGCGTAGGGCATGCCGCTCTTCTTCTCCTCCACCGAGGAGCCCCTGCCCACCCACACGAACACCTCGGCCATGACGTCCAGGATGTACACGTCGCCCGACTGCGAGACCACGACAACAACAACAACAACAACAACAACAACAACAACAACAACCAGCACGCCTTGTTATTTTATCAGTCGCGGGATGGAACGGGGCAGTACATGGGAACAACAGCGACTGCAACGACAGCAACAACCAGCGCGGTTATTTCTTACTACTCGATGAATGGAATGGGGGCAGTGCGGGAATAACACCGTCCTGGAGAGGGCGTGGGAATATACGGATGGCGCAGTACAACCAGCGCGTATTCTCATCAGTCGCGGAATGGAACATGGCAACATATGGGAATGACACCACCGTGGAGAGGGAGCTTAACCATGAAATTCTCTACGGATGGGGCAGTACCGTGAATAATACCGCGTGGCAGGAGTCTTAACGTGGAACTCTTACGGATGGGGCAGGTATCGTGTTTAACACCGTGTGGAGGGAGTTTTACGGTGGAAACCCAGGTAAGGATGTTGAGTCGGGCCGTGGGAAGGGGCGCGATTCGGACTGCCGGTGTATAGGTGAAAGATGAGCGGATGAACGACTGGAAGCGGTGTTGACCACCAAGACCACAAAATGCAAATATAACAACACTAAGGCTTGGATAAAGAGCGGCCGAGTCTTTGGCTCGTACAAACACAATACACCCTCTCTCTCTCTCTCTCTGTCTCTTGCCTTTTTCCGTTTCTCCCTTCCTCGCTCTGTCTCTCCCCCTGTCTCTCTCTGTTTGTCTCTCCCCCTGTCTCTTTCTGTTTGTCCCCCCCCCTGTCTCTCAATGTCTCTCCCA